ATTATGTTTGTTAGGAGAAGCTCAATTTTTGTAGAAAGAGAATTTGAAAAGAAAACTGACAGTTTTTTTTCTCTTTCATTCGCAGACATAGCAGTTGAGACTAGCAAGAAATAATTCCGACAGAACACCACTGCATCAAACAATCTGTAAGTTTAAACTAAAAACAATATGAGAAAGGGAAAGTTTGATGACAGATTGAGTATCATAACATAGCTGCAGGACCTTCATAAGTGAGGGCTTATGAACACTGGGGATTACCAGGGAAGGGGCAGAAGATTAGAAAGTAAATGAACATCTTATGCAGGAGAAGAGAATACTTGAGAGGCAATGAAACATAAGCAGGCAAGGAGTCCATACTGTATGGAAGCTTAATAGTGGATGTTGTTGGTTAGAACAGTGTTTTTAATATTTAAAGATATATTATTTTTACAGTTCAGCTTTGCAAACAAATTCAAACAGGTGATGAGGTTAACCTCTACAGAACTTCTCACACATATGAAACTTCTACCACAACCCCCAAGGAAGAAATATCTTCAGTGTATGCAGGTTGACAGCTGCAACTTGTACCTCTTTCCTGACTTTTTAAAAAGACAGGATCACTTGCATTTGCCCTCAGATAATGAGCCTCTGGAGAAGGCTAATTTCATATAGCTTTCATAAAGCTTTCACTTTTTATGTAACCAGAATAAAAGCACTGTTATTGGGTGCCCTTCAAGGTCTTAAGACTATTGATTTGGAATAGAAGGACTGAAAAATTATTGTTAATAACTGACATCTAGTCAATACAAAAATAAATGGTATTGGGACTGATGAGCTAGTTAATATTCTAGCAACTAAAACATGCAACATATCAAAGATGCACAATCTTAGTAAAAACAATCGAAATGCAAAGTGGCTTAATGTTTGTATGCATCTATAAAGTCATATTTGTTATAGCTGTATTTTTTCTTTGTGTTAAATGACTCCCACTTTAAACTAAAGGTAAATATTATTTCCAAACAATAACAGTAGGTGCGAAATAATAGAAAGGTGTTTCAAATGCAAATTGGTATATGTACAGCACTTAGATGGTATGTTCCAGTTGAAGGCTTTAAGTACTTGACAATGCAAATTTTCAAAGATACAAAGCAGGTCAATAAGAATAAAGAAGCTGTCAATTTTTGAAGAAAAAACTACTGAGCACGTGTTACATATCTATCAAGCCTTTCCAAATCTCAAGTCTTAATAAATTCTAAAGCTCTTCTAAAACATTCAAGTCTTGACATATCTACAAGCACTACAGAGATATGAATATAGACAGAAGCATTGTCCAGACAACAGAGATTCTATTTATTCTCCTACTAGGAAAAACTAAGGGGAACTCAGCCATTATCAACCAGCATTTGACATCGACCAGCTGGTGAATTAGCGTGCTTGCTGTTCCAGCTGAGCTGTTCACTCTTGTGCTGTTTATTGTTTGGCTTCTGCTGTAAAGCAATCCAGATAAGGACTGTGTGAGGAATCCAGCAGTACTTGGGGTAGGGTGCATAAACATATTTTCCTGCCTATTAAAGCTCAGGGAATGATGATTTTGGAGAAAAAGATAAGTGTTGATACCACTCTTCTACTTCTGAATTCTCATTTTTTGTTATTTTTTTAATAATTAGCTTAAAGGTTTGGTTGAGTTAGGTTAATTTAGTCATTTTATTCAGTCCCTAGCTGCAGTTTTATTATGAACAAAATGCTTTCATTTATATTAAATTCAGCTATAGTGATGAATTAGTGAAAATTAATAATGAGAAGTGAGGCTCAAGTTTATTTATATTGTATCTTAAAATAAATGCTTACATCCTTCAGTTAGGAATAAAGAATTTGGAATGAGATATATATGATGCAAGGGAAATCAGATCAGATCTGTGCAAAGTGAAGAATTGTAGATTAAGGATCCTGAGCTCTTTTCACTGTTTTTCTGCTGATACACTGCATGCCTGAGGGATGGTGCTTCAGCAGCACCTTCTGATCTCAGGCCTTCAGTGTGAAGTACCTCAATCATGTTTTATGGAGCTACTGAATTCTCTTGTTCATGAAGATGGAAGAATTAAAGGTGAGCTGGGGGAGAGGAGGATAACTTAGGTGAGTTTTATAGGTGTAAAATAAACACATTTGTGAATTGCTTGAAGACATGTCTTGCAGAAGATCAGTATTACAAAATAATTAGTATAATCTTGTCAACAAGCTCAGAGAAACCTTTGCTATCCTTTCAATCTTTGGAAGAATATTAATGGAACTATTTATGTGCTTATTGTGAATGAGGTTTTTTACCTTGCAGTGCTGGGATCTAAAGTGGTGTAGATTTGCTTTAGTCAATGAAAATTCCCTAAGGTCTTGTTGTTGTGTCCGTCTAGCTTCAGAGAGTGGAGGCAGGAGTCTGCAGAGCTCAGATGATCAGCACAAATTTATGAGGTGGGAATCATAGGTGCTCCATACCATCTGGTATCACATGCACTATCTTGTACCACATCACAGTGATACACACCTCCATCAGTTAGATTTGTGCTGCATTCATCCCACAGTATTAGTGCATAAGCTGTGCGAAGTGATACCTAGAAACTTCAGGCTTGATTTTATGAGAAGAGAAATATCAGACCGAAATCGGCATTACCCCCTTTATATGACGGTGGAGAGACTCCTACTGAAATGCTAGTTATGGCCTTTTAAGTAGGACTAAATCACACTAAAACATCAGAAATATGCTTAACAAAGAAGCTTAATCCAAAGAAAGTTAAGTGGTTAATTGATTGTGTGATGTTGGTAGTGTGCACAGAGGAAGGATTTTTCTCACAGTAGGCAACTCTTCAATCTGTTTAGGTAAAGACACTGCAGAAACCAGTTAAGAAACTGTGATTACAAGCAAGGTAAGGTCAAGATTTTGACCGTGTAATCAACTATTAAAACACTTAGCTGTGCAGGTGGTAACTTCTCCATTTCAGTAAGTCTCTTTTTTTGGCTAGCATTAGGTGGAAAGGTTGGTGGCCCTGCATGTGGCAGGGGGGTTGGAGATTCATGATCCTTGAGGTCCCTTCCAACCCTGGCAATTCTGTGATTCTGTGATTTAAGTCAAGGCTGAATTCCTCTCTAGAAAATACAGTGCATCTCAGATACCGTGAACTAATGGAGAAGTTGCTAGTGAGATTCAGAGGAGATCGGATCACATGGCAGCTGCCCCTTCTGATCTGAAGTCTCTGAGGTGCAGGCACAAAATTCTCTAAATATCTTAATTCTGGTTCGTTTCTCCAGGTGTTAAGTTCAGCACCTTGAGAAAAAAAAATCAGAAGAGCTGTTGCTCAGGTGTGACCTGGTTCTATTTAAGCAAAAATGCCAGTTAGGAGCAGTAAAACACTGCATAGAAATCCTAATGAAGTTGGGCACTGAACTCTATGTTTGTGCAGTAAAATACAGGATTTTAAATCACACACATATATATTTTTAAACATTTCAAGAATGAACTAAGGAACTGTTTCTGATGACCACAGGGACTCGTCTCGGGGAAAAACAATCTGGCCTGGAGAATAAATATAGTGAGATTGGTAGATTCTCTTTAATTGAAAAGATTCAGGCTGAGAGAATCCATCAGTAAATGTGATGAGCAAATGCTTAGCCCTTTGGTTCGATTTGTTTGCATTCCAAACCAAGATAGCTCGAGAAGCTTAAACATTTGAAAGTTCACAAAACATTTTCTGTATTTGGGTTAAGTTCTCTCTTACATCAATGCTTTCTAAATATCATATGGAGTATTATATAGCATAATAAATTCTGGATTTCTTTCTAAGTTACCTAAGGAGGCTGCTATAGGGAGAAGATATTTTTCTCAGCTGTACTTCTGTTGAATTTAATCATGGTAATTATTTCCATTTATCTTGTTACCTTAGTGTTTTACAGTAGGTTGACAGAGTTGAGCTGTTACCAGACTGCATGACTCAGCGAGTTTCTGCCTGCAGCTGTGCTTGTACATTTCACAGGGTCAGTTGGTGTAAACACATTCCTTGCTACTGTGATTTCACCTCTGTACAGGGTTACCTTTGTTCAAAGTATAGCTAATAAGTCAGTGATTAACAGGGGATTGGTTAACACAGCTTATTATGTTATGCAATTTGGATATTGCACTTCTTTCTTCCAGTGGAAGGTAGGGAAGAAAGAAGGGGAGGAGGAGGGTTAGGAAGAAAAAAGGAGGGGAAAGCTTCTGTGGTTTCTGGGCTCTGTTTGTTCACCTGAGCTTGCTGTAGGTCTGAGTGCTCAGAGCCTGGTCTGGTCACACATCTGAGTTGGGCACAGCAGAGCTGTAGCCATGGCCAACGCCTCCACCTTGCTGGAAACCGCATTGCAATAAAACTCCCCTGGCCTTTCCAGGATCCCAGGGTCTGTCCCGGCACGAAGGAAAACTGAGGCTGGGCTGGCAGCACCTGCCGGGGATGCTGCTCGCTCGCTTTGGGCCGGCTCGGGGCGGGTTCCTGCGCCGGGGAGCGCAGTGCGGCACTGTACGAGCTTGCCTGCCATCTGCTGGTAGCGGCAGCCGCGGTACGGAGCTGCGCCCGCGCCGTCACCCACGGGCCGCTGTGGGCGGCGAGCGGCGCGCTGAGCCCGGCCCGAGCCCTATGACCTCATTGCAGCATTTCAGTACCTAAAGGGAGCCTACAAACAGGAGGGGAATCAACTCTTTGAAAGGGTTGATAATTTCAGGACGAGGGGAAACGGTTTTATGTTGAGGGAGGGGAGATTTAGGTTGGACGTCAGGGGGAAATTCTTTACGGAGAGAGTGGTGAGGTGCTGGAACCCAGAGAGGCTGTGGATGCCCCGTCCCTGGAGGTGTTCAAGGCCAGATTAGATGGGGCCCTGGGCAGCCTGGTCTAGTATTCGGTGTGAAGGTTGGTGGCCCTGCTTGTGGCAGGGGGTTGGAGATTCATGATCCTTCAGGTCCCTTCCAACCCTGGCCATTCTGTGATTCTGAGCCTGCCGGGCGCCCGTAGCGGGGCGGGGCTCTGCGGAGCGGAGCGTAGAGGCGGCCATGGCGGCGGGCAGCGCCATCCAGATCCCCAGCCGCCTGCCGCTGCTGCTCACCCATGAAGGCGTCCTGCTGCCCGGCTCGACCATGCGGACGAGCGTGGACTCGCCGCGCAACATGCAGCTGGTGCGCAGCCGGCTGCTGAAGGGCACCTCGCTGCGCAGCACCATCATCGGCGTCATCCCCAACACCAGCGACCCCACGTCCGACTGTGACGACCTGCCCTCGCTGCACAGGTGCCGCCGCCGCGCCCCTCGCGGCCCTCGGCCACGCTGCCCCCGCCGGGGCCGCGGCGGTATCTCCGGGCCGGGGCCGCGCCGAGGGGAGCGGAGCTCTGCTCCCGGCCGGGGGAGCTCGTGCGCGTGGGGCGTGGGCAGCGCCGTGCGGGTCTGCCGCTGGGCGAGTCCGAGAATGGGAGCCGGCTGGGACGGAGACGCGACCCGAGAAAGCGGTTCGGGGTCATTAGGGCTGTACCGCTTATTGGTGATAGGAAGTCAGTTGGCTACTTTGTTACTTTGAGTATTTTGGAAGATCCAGTTCACGTGAAATGAGGGCTGATTGTATTTCTGAGGGATCAACTGTGTATAAAATTAACATGCTGTATTCCTTCAAAACTTATTTCTGTCAGTGGATTTAGTAAGGTTTTGCAGTTTGTTTTAATTCTGCTTAAATAGGCAGTTTGGTCAGATAAATGTGATCTAAAGCATTAGTTTTGCATGAGACCAGCAGTTTTGCTAGAAAACTGCAAAACTGTAAATTGTAAAGAAATATTTTTCTATCGTGTACAGTTTGAGCAGAAACGTAGGTGTTCTGTTCCTGTTCCAAAACCTAGTAATTTATTTACAAAAAAATCACATTTCTCCACACATGTATGTGTTACATTACCATCATTCATTTTTCAGTTGTCTTGTTGTTTTTTTAAAATCCAAGGCGTGGTTCCGTTGATCTGTCACAAAGGAAATCCTCTAATGTTTCTGATGGGGAACAGTGATGACCTGTGAGGCTCTGTAGCTCAGTTGCTTCGTGTAAGGGACACATGAAATGTTCTGTGGAAGATAACAAATAATACAAACATAATACAAACATTTGATCTGCTTTTAGGATTGGCACTGCTGCTTTGGCAGTTCAGGTGGTTGGTAGCAACTGGCCCAAGCCACATTATACACTGCTGGTTACGGGCCTCTGCCGGTTCCAGATACTGCAGCTGTTGAAGGAGAAGCCGTACCCTATTGCAGAAGTTGAGCAATTGGATCGACTCGAGCAGTTTACAAATCAGCATAAGTCTGAGGAGGAACTTGGAGAGTTGTCAGAACAGTTCTACAAATATGCTGTGCAGGTAAATTGGTTTAATCCTATTCATTTTAAATCAGTGTATTGATGCACATGCTTTGTTGCTCTTTTTTTCCTTTTTTTTTGTTTTTTGTTTTTCATTTGTTTGCTCTTCTCTCTTTGTACCACATACATTTTTTTTTTAGTGAAAGTAGGATTTCTGCTAGAAAAGTATTGTCTTTGTTATGGCTTGAGATTTCCATGTTGAGTTTGAGAATCTCTATGCAGTGCATTTCAGGATGAGCCTAACTGTATGTGTTAATGTTACAGTAACTTTATAGTAGTTCTTATGTACTGGTACCATAAGTATATTATAGCAAAAAACAAAACAAAGCATATTTTTATATATATATGTATTTTGCTTTTGAGAAAGTGCTTTTTCTAAAATTCCTGGTAAAAAAATCCATATAATGGATTTTAAAAACTGTATATTATTAAATGGGAAAAAAGCACACCTGTATAGAATCTTTTTATAAACACATGTCCTCAGGTATAATAAATTCAGCGTTTAAAGAGGTACAGAAGAAGGGAACTGGGATGATTTTTAATCAGGGTATTTGAAAGGTAATAGAAGATGTAGGCATTGAAAAAAAGCAAAAAAGCACTAGGAGCAGTGATGCTAATTATGATCTTGAACTAGTATAAAGTCCAGAATCTTGGTTGCCTATTCTTCTAAGTGCAAATGTTTTTCTCAGAACATTTTTGGCAAAGTATTTATGCACGTTTAAAGATGCATTGCTCTTAAAGTCAGATACTTGATTAAATAAATTTAAAAAGAAACATCCAACAACTATGAATATTGTTCATTGTGTGTTCTTTACAGTTGGTTGAGATGCTGGATATGTCCGTTCCTGCAGTTGCAAAGCTGAGACGTCTTCTGGACAATCTGCCTAGAGAAGCTTTGCCAGATATACTGACTTCAATCATCCGTACATCCAACCAAGAGAAGCTTCAGGTATTATGTCCTTAAACTGTTTTAAGGTGAAGTGTTTGCTACTTTTTTATAGTTATAATCACTTTTAGGGTAATTTTGATAGATGGTGATAATATTGTGCCAGAAAGTATTTCTGTTACAACCAAGCAGAAATAATTCTTAAAAGTATTCTTTTTTTATGCTCTTGTTTCATATATCTTTCTGCACACCTTTACATGAGAATTCGCTTAAAAGCTAAATGAATATAGATAGTGTGGGGAACTGTTCACTTAATTGAGTGACAAGAGATACAGCCTGGATTTCATAGAATTGTAGAATGTTTTGGGTTGGAAGAAACCTTTAAGATCATCTAGTTCCAGTCCCCCTGTTTGTAGGAAGGGACATCTCCCACTAGACTGTGTTGCTCAAAGTTCTGTATAGCCTGGCTTTGAACACCTCCAGGATGAGGACAACCACAACTTCTCTGGGTAACCTGTTCCAGTGTCTCACATGACCCTTAAAGTGTAGAATTTCTTCATAATATCTGGTATAAATTTAAATAAGTAAAAAAATAAATATAAGTTTGGGTTGGATATCAGGAAAAACTTCTTTACAGAAAGGGCTGTTGAGCACTGGAGCAGGCTCCCCAGGGAGGTGGTTCAGTCACCATCCCTGGATGTGTTTAAAAACCGTATGGCTGTGATGCTCAGGGACATGATTTAGCAAGGGTTGTATGGTTTAGCATAAGGAAGTATGGTTAGATTGTGGTTGGACTCGATGATCTTTAAGGTCTTTTCCAACCTGAGTGATTCTATGGTTCTATGATCCTGTTGCTACCTGCCCTTACAAAAACTCCCTCTTCAGCTTTTCTATAGGCCCCCTTCAGGGGGGAAGTACCCTTCAGGTACTGGAAGGCCATTAGAAGGTCCTCCAGGTGCCTTCTCTTCTTCAGGCTGATGAGCCCCAGCTTTCTCAGCCTGTCCTTGTAGGGAAGCTACTCCAGTCCTCTGATCATCTTCATGGCCCTCTTCTGGGTCCATTCCATGTCCTTCTTGCTCTGGGGGCTCCAGAACTTGACACAGGGCTCCAGATAGAGTCTCACGAGAGCAGAGTGGAGGGCATTTCCCATTGCCATGGCAAAGATGATAAGTCTTTCTTCGAATTGTGTTGAAATCTTGCTTATTTAATGAAGCTGACAGATAATTATATAAATTTTGCTTGCTTCCACACATCAACTTAAACAAACATGAAAATGAAATAATGTATAAAATACGTGTTTTATTTTAAAAGGCAACAAGGATAACATGCCTTAAGGCATAAGGTGATTTTTTTTCTGGGCATGTTTTCATGGAGGGAGCTCTTTTCTGAGACTCAGTAATTGAGAAGTAAGCTGCTGGTAGGTGGTTTCTACATAAAATGTAACCAAAATAATAAGACAATTTAAAACAGAATAAAAAATTATATATTTTTTGGTACTTTTGAATTACTTCATAGTTTTGCTGTACAGACCTTGAAGCTAGGTTTTGTATGCTGTATTCTTTTATTTTCTTGCTACCTCTTTTTTTCCCAAACCATTTAATTTACAACTCTGATCAAAAGACTGCAATGACAACCTGTGTGTTCCCCTTCTCCTCAGTGATGACCTATTAATGTGAATTTGTTGGCTTCTCATAACTCCTTGCTCTTAGATCCTAGATGCTGTTAGGCTGGAGGAAAGGTTCAAGATGACTATACCATTGCTTGTTAGACAAATCGAAGGACTGAAGCTTCTTCAGAAAACAAGAAAGCACAAACAGGATGATGATAAAAGGGTACGGACCTTTAAATCTGGGATTCTTAAGCATCATACATAAATATAATGATGCGCTTTTCAACAGGCTAGTGAAGGTGTGTTATTGTAATCTTTTCAAGGTTTTAACCTGTGGCCATAGTATTTAGTGCTTAGGCTATATCAGTGGAGAAAACCCAGTTTGCAACTTCAGCTGTTCAGAAATCTGAAAAAGAAAACTTTTTTTTTTAAGCTGTCTGGACATCATTTATTTCATCTGAGCACTTTCTGACTTCACATAAGGTTCCATTAAACAGTCATTTGATAGCCAATTAACTTGCATGATATGTGCACACGGCAGTGAAAAGTGTACAATTTATTAATAGCAGTAAAGGTGAATCACGACTTTTGAAATATGGATAATTGATGTGTGTTGTGAAATGTAGTTTGCTTAACTGTGACAAGCTGCACTTTTGCTGCATCTAATTGCACATGTACAGTTTAGCAAACAAGAAATAACTGAGAAATGAAAAAGAGTAAGAGAGATTACACCTGTAAATATTTTGCTTATCCTGCCTAATAAGATGGGCTGCAGTGCCAGGTTTTCAAAATATTGGAAGAGCTTTTTCAGTTTTGTTTTTGTCCTCTGTTACCTACTAGATTATGGTAGATGACAAATGAACTTAGTAAATACATACAGTAAAATAAAAATGGTAACTTTTTAAAGTAGCACCAATAACACTTTAACTATTTATTGGATTAAAATTTTCAGACTTATTCTGTTAAGTAGTTTCTCCCAATCCTTGTATGTTTTTCTCACGGTTTCCATTAAATGTCAAAGTATTCACCTTATTTAAAAAAAAAAAACATGAACTGGTGCTACTCTCTGACTGCTATCTGTTTCATAGGTTGTAGCCATTCGTCCGAACAGAAGAATCAATCATATTCCAAGCACTGCAGAAGATGAGGAGGAGGAGGAAGATCATGATGATGTTGTCATCCTTGAAAAAAAGATCAGAACTTCCAGTATGTCAGAACAAGCTCTTAAAGTTTGTCTTAAGGAAATAAAGAGGTAGGAGAATCAGAAATGGTGGTTTCTTTTCTTAATTTATTTTTTGGAACAAATCTTGCATTAACATTTTACTTAATGATATATTTGTTGGTTGTGTTTTGGAAATAATTTTTAGGATTTTATTAATGTGCTGCTATTTTTCTTACAAGCTCGCTCTACTTGTTGTTTTGGAACATCAGAGAGGATGACAATTAAGTCTTTTACATGTGGCTTATGAATTAATACAGCTTTAAACTGCAAGCTCTAGATCTCTGTGTTATGAAGTGAATGCCTCAAAAGAAAAGGAGAGGGACAAATAACATCACTGTTGTTAATAATTAATGAGAAAAGTGATCTGCATATTGATTCTTTTTTCCTTTCTCTGTCTTTGTGAGCATGTAACTGGTATTGGGGATGGTATGATCATTAACAGCCTCGTTAGTGATGTTGTTTGTGTGTGTGCTATGTACCTGTATATCTACTTACATATTTATACTGTGGTGCATGCATTTTGTATGCAGTGTATGCTTAGGAAGATGATGTTTGTTTTTTTTCTGCAAAAATCATACAAATGAGCTCTCATTACGCAATGATAAATCTTGTAATTGATGTAATAGTGACTTATTTTTTAGTATTACAGGTGTTGGAAGGTAAAAGGGTTTGCTAAATATCGTTTTTTTTTAGTGCAAGAGAGTGTCTTAGTTTGCTGTTAGTTCCCCATTAGCCTGATTAGTTCTATGCATATACTTCCAGGTTAAAGAAGATGCCTCAGTCGATGCCAGAATATGCTTTAACAAGAAATTATTTGGAACTTATGGTAGAATTGCCGTGGAACAAGAGTACGAAAGGTAAACCCTTCTATTATTGTTGACTGTCTCTTGTGCAGACATTTTAGGACACGTAGCTATGATTTAAAGACAGAAGAATGTACTTAGTTCTCTCTCCCAAATTTTTTTTGCATTGTCTTGTAGTAAAATGCTTTTAGTGGTACTCTAGTAATGCAGTTTACCATGTTTAAATAAAGATCTGTGTACTGAATAGGCTATGTAGCTCAGTTGTACACCCAGAAACGTGAGTTAAACAAGCAGTATCTACACAATGAAATGGTGGTGGTGTTACTTGCAATCTCGTGCTATTGCATACTTTGTTATTCTAAAATCTGGAATGTGGTTACATCACAGTGCAATAGGTATGTTTTCAAAGAGGTTATGTTGTATTAGCTAGTCTTTATGGCAGTTAAGACCTCTGCATATTTACAGCTTTTTCATTTTTGCATTTCAGGTAGAATTAATTACATGATATCGTATTACTATGGCAATACAGTGAAACAGTGGTAAAAAAAAATCCATACTGTGCTTCTCAAAATGTTCAGTTTCTTTTCTTAGGTTTTTCTTACTGTCATAAAACACTGGAAGTGTGTTCCCCTTAATTTTTTTTATTAGTCTCAAACAGACTATTTTATAATCACAGTCTGATATGTCTCTGCCTCAGAGACTGTTCTGGATGATAGTATTTAGTAGTTATGTTTGTGATCTGCTTTTGGAAAAATTGAATCTAGAGTCATTACCTTGAAAAGCTGCTCAGGTGAGGTTTTTTCGCATCAAATAAGGTTAAAATGTTAGAAGTACCAAAGAAAACTGCTGCTAATTACTATCTCTTACATCAAATAAAAAAACTTTTTAACATTTCTGCAGCATAAATCTTCCTGAAGAAAGTTCTGGTATATCTGATGTTGATCAAGTTTGTTAAAGATCAAGAGGATGAAAAAGCAAAGTTGTAGTTACTTTTCATAGTTAAAACTTTGGATACAATAGGAAACAGCTCAACTTTTTACCATCGTTTTCAAAAACTTTGAGCAGAAATTGATATAAATACAGGAATGGGATACAAAAATGGAGATCAGGAAAGTGTAGACCAACACAAATAGATTCATTGGACAGAAATACTTTCCAGAAGTGTTTTGAAGAATGAAGCTTTTGGATGGCATTTAAAACAGTGACAATTTATCTCAAATTATGGCAATTGTAAAAACCGAATTTTTCCAGTCCTAGTATCAAATAGGTATTTTGCACAGTACAGTCACTTAAAGTATATAGCTAGCAAAGCCTGCCATTCAAGCCTTGTGAGGTAATACAGACTATAGTGTAAATAGGCGAGATGAAGACATAGGATTGAATTTATCTTTTGATAAGACCTTATGGCTTCAGATTCAGTTCTGTGAGATGACAAATGCTGAAAAATATGCATGTTGTTCAGTTGCTGTTCCAGGATAGATATTAATTTGAACCAGATTTTAAAACTGTGACACAGTGAAAGGATGTTTCCATTTTTGTTGTTAATTCTTTTATCCATAAGGTGATCTCTCCAGCTTGTGTTTACTTTTCTTCTTAAAAAAATAAGGCTTATAATTATCTTAGCAAAATGTTGTGTGGAATATAAATGTGAGTATTGGGTGAATTATGTTGATGAACGTGTGAAAATGTATTAATTTCTGTTGCACAGTAGAATTGTTTCCATTTCTAAAGGTAAATGTGCTGATATCCTTTCTGTTGTTAATGATTGACAGATCGCCTTGAAATTCGTGCAGCTCGAATTCTTCTGGATAATGATCATTACGCTATGGAGAAGTTGAAGAAAAGAGTTTTGGAGTACTTAGCTGTCAGGCAGCTAAAAAACAACCTCAAGGGACCCATTCTTTGTTTTGTGGGACCCCCAGGAGTTGGCAAAACCAGCGTGGGGAGATCAATTGCAAAGACTTTGGGTCGAGAATTCCACAGAATTGCTTTAGGAGGTGTCTGCGATCAATCTGATATCCGAGGCCATAGGTATGTATTTCTTTTTTTATTACATGTAATTTACTATTTTATTACAGAACATACTGATTATTTTTGTTGTTCAGCTGATGTGGAGAAGTTTCACTTATTTCAAATACTGTTATCTATCACTCACTGATTCTCTTTGGTATTCAGTGGTATTATTCAGGAGCGAATTTTAATAATGAGAGTGGGCATTCACTGTTGAGATTTGTTCTTTATTCTTTTTGTTACTGCCTTTTTATTTTATGTGGAGAGTAGAATAATCATACCTGGATCTAGAACTGTGGCAAGATGCGTGACCTGTGAACTTCATATGCTTGGGATAATTAAAACTGCCTTTATATCTCTAAGTCATTTATAATCTTCAGTTTTTTTGGCATTGTGATTGAAATTTTTGAGTTCTAGGAGGAGTGCAGAGATTCAGTTAAATCAAATAGTGTATGACTAACAACACATTACTTTGTAACCATGTTTGTTATTAAAACCATGAGAGCAATTCTTAAAAGTTGCTGGAGAATAGCAACTGAGTTACTGAGAGTATTTCAGCCTTGTTAGTATATTATTTTTCCATTTCAAAAGGATGTTTATTCAGGGACACTTATGCTGAAAGAGTTCAATATAAGCCCTTTCCTTAGGGCTTATTTTTTTATTTGCATCTCTTTATACATCTGCTTCTCAGTTTTCCAAATGATTTGTTTAAATCAACCAGTTTCCCATACTCTGCTGGAAGGATAATGAATAGATAATGTTGGTAAGTAACTGCGAAACATCAGTGCAGCGTTTTTTGGTTCCATTAAGTATGTCTCATGATCTGTAGAACCATGTGATTTCTCCTTACAACAGCTGGTAAATTATTGTAAATTGAAATTACTAGTTTTTTGATGCCATGTAACCAGTTAATTTTGCCCAATGGCTGTACTACTGGCCTCAACTATCAGAATGCGCTATCAGTGTTGTTCCAGTTCCAAATTAACTCCTTTTTATTTTCATGACATAAAACACACCTGGGAATTTTTGCCACTTCACTTTTAATTTTAATGAAAACTTAAATGCCTAACAAAAACTCATTTTGTGGTATCAGATTTTCCAGTGTGTAAGCTAGTTTAGCATGTGAATATACTAGAGTACTGCAAGTTCATGGTCTCTACTAACAGGAATGCAGAAGGCTTACTGGGACATGCACTGAAATTCTTGTACGTGAACTTGTAGCAATCTAGAGTTTAATATACTGTTGGTATACTATTGATCACTTTTTAGACCAGAATGTGAGAGAAGAAACATTGGAACAGCAATGTTGTACTTGACACACCTAGCTACACCTGGAGTTTGTGGCATAAATAATATTTGTGAGGTTTTTTTAGGGTAGGTTTGATCAGCATACACAGAAGCCACTGGGGGGTTAAATATTGAGTATGGTTGTACATTTGTTTGATTAAATATATCAGTTTTCTGTGTATAGCAGCACTCTGTGTGGTTGATTGTTCTGTAAACCTTTGTAATATCTGCCCTTTTTGCCCATTTACTTATTCACTAATGGAAAAAGAAGCAGAACTGTCCTTCACAGGGTTTTATTCCTTGTATTTCATAAACTGACACTGTTTACTAAGTAAGAATTCTGATGTTTCAAACTATTTATTGTATGAATCCTAAAAAACAAGCATAATGCAGATACTACAAGTTGCTGTTTGATATTGGAACCACTAGGGGTTGTTGAATTTACATTTACAGACATTAAGGAACTTTTTCCAGGGCTGAGTAAAACTTGAGCCTTTCTAAAAGACCAATGTGTATGAAGCAGACGTTATGGAAAGAAAGTAGAACTGTCAACAGCTGTTACTCAATTGCCAGTAATTTTTTACAGTTTTATTTTGTTAGTTTGTTTATTTTTGGCTTTCCATCTTGTGTTTACTTCTTTTATGGAGAGCTGCACTCATGGGATAATGACTTCAAAAACATAGAAACTCAAGTGCTTGTGGTTGCCATCATAGTATTTTTGCATGTTAGAAATTAATCTTTAGTATAAAAATAAGTACTTAAAATTAGAAAGTATTTGACAAGACAGGAAGAGAAAAAGACCATCTAGAATTAACAGGAGTTCCATATGGTTACTCTCTAGCCATGTAGCTGAAGACCAAAACTTAGTGGTGGTTAGTGAGGGTCCCTTGTAACCACCTGTTTTGCATGTTTCATGTTAAGTAAAATCTAGCAGTTGAACGCAGATTTTTTTTCTGTGTTTCTGTTTCATTGTTTTCTGTTTCTTCTTAGCTTTTCTGTAATCTTCCCTCCATAATGTTGTTTTCATGAATAGGTCCTCCAAGTTAATCCTGGTCAAGTGAATCCATATTATGCTTCCAGTGGCAATCGCAGAAGAGAATTTGAGAAGCAGTCTAAAAGTGAAGAAGACATAAGATCTTCTTCTCCCAGTTTGACTTTTAAGTGGGCTTATTTTCTAATACTGCATGTTAGGAGCCCTCCTTTTTCTCCTTAAGGCTCCTTTTTAGGCTTTAAGGCTTAAGTTAAGCATTCCTATTAAAGTTGCAGAAAAATGCTAGTATATGCACCTACTAATGTACTAAACATTTACAAATGTACCAAATGCGCTGAAGCATTGAAAAAGAAATTGTGGGTGATTTTCACTTGCAAGCAGATATTACCTGAAATAGCGCTCACTTTGGCTACGTGTAACTGTTACAGGTGAAAGGAGCAAATTGATAGATTCAGCAAGAAAAACAAAATATCTTGCTTTGCAGTGTGGAGGGCAGTGATGTTTCAGTACTTGTGCTGTTCTGGGAGAGGTGTAGCTTGGGCAGTCTGCAGGCGTCCCGCTTTTTCCACTTAAGTGTGCATCATGTGGCTGCAGCTGGGGATTCTGTGGGTCCTGTTTTGACTGGGTGAAGATATTACAGGGCCGCATTCTCAAAATGAAGTCATCATCTTGGTACAAAAACAGAACTGCTTTATCAGACATGCCCCAGCTGTTGTTAGCATTTACCACTCATCTATACTCTATGTAAATGCTTGCTGTTTCGTTTACTGGTAACTTGTATTTATAAAAGCAAAAGAAGACAATCTGAAATACTTGTTTTTATCTGAAAATTTCCCTGAGTTTAAGATCTCCTCAGTACTGATACTTGGTTTTATTCAAAAACCGTATGATCTTCTCTACTGCGTGTGAGCAGGTTTCTATTTTCAAAAAGGAAAGATGTCGTTGCACTATTTATAATGGTGCTAGTGAGATTTTTTTTTTCCTTCTCTCACCTCTGTGTGAGGCTCCCTTTTTTTTATATCAGCACTTTTCATTTTCTGCAAGTTTGGATAGATAACCTCTGATTTAGTCCTGTGCTGAATATTTTCTGAGGTGCATCTGTGCATGAAAAGGTGAGGTTGCACAGGCCTCCTTGCACTAGAAAAAAGCAAACCGGGTTTTCACCTTGGCAAAGTAACTTTGTTACACAACTACAGAGTATAGATACACATGTAAAGTAAGTGCAACCTCTGTCCTTGCAAAAAACAAACCAAGACAAAAAACCTCTGACCTAATGCAAGTAAGTTCATAAATAGTTTCTTTGGTAGCGTGAACTTTTATCTTTTCCTAATTCTGTGATTTGAAAACCACTCTGGTTTAAAACAACTTAAAACTTTGTCTTTAGAAAAATATGAAGAAATTAGGTCATGTTTTTACCAGTAACACTAGTACTGCTTTAGGAGTTCTGATTCAACAGCTCTCCCAGTGCAAACTGGGAATGTTTATAAGTTTCCCAGCTGCCTTTTCAGTGATACATACCTCCCAGTTACAACCTTAGTGTTTTTGAAGGGTGACTTTTCACTGATCTAAAAATAAGTAGAAAATTTACTGAAGTACAGACCTTATGTGGCATGGTCTCTTAAGGTGCTCTTTGTTGCTACGTAGGGGAGTGCCAGCAAGATTGTTCTCAACTTCCTGTTTCAAATGGAAAGCAGCTGATTTCTCTTTGTAGGCTGAATGCATGGAGAAAAACTATGTGTCAAAATAACGAGCAAAGGCACATTTGTATCAAAATGCTAAAATTAGAATGCTGTTTTTCTTCCTTTTAGCTGTAGCTAAAAGAATGGAAATAATGACTAAACATCCTTACAGCATCACAAACAGCAGTTTTCAGTTTCACAAGTTACGAGGCAAAGGTTAATGTCCAGACAGATAAATAGCCATATCTGCTTATAATTTCATTATGTCACAGTGGTTTTATACATAAATTTCTTCAGAGTCTATCTTACAGAGGACTCTTGAGTTGTGTTTCCTAATAAAAAGATAGGAATAAAAATAGATTTATCTGGGTTTGTATTTTTAATGTAAAATACTAGGTTATTGTCTGTTGTCACTCTACGTGTGACATTAGCATTCTTTATTCAGCTTGGAGATCTTGAGTCTGATTAATAGATTCTGGTCCGTCTTTAATGTAATGTACTGAAGGCTTAGACTGTTAGAAATGGGAAGAGTAAATTGATACTTAGGCATTTTTAATCCTAAAATTCATAGCCCAAGTTTCTGTTACACATTGTGTAGCATATCAAGTTATTAGTGTAGTAAGCACCTTGTGTGAAAACAGAAAATTGCTGCAATAATTAGCTTGGTTGAACTGCTAAAAGATTCACTTCTGTGAACTTCAGTTCTGCTTCGGTCTCATAATTTTTTGATAGCATTTTATAGGATCTTTTCATGCTTTTGGCAGTGTTGACTGTATGCAGATGGAGAATGAAGTGACATGCTGATATAATGGCTCCCCCGTGCAGGTTCTGGGTTGGTAATAAATGTTATGTAGTATACTTCTCAGTGGATAGGAGTGTACTCATTCACTGCAGAATGAGGCTCTGCACAAAAGCAGTGAGGTGACAAACTAGTGCATGCTGGCTGCTCCAATCTCTAGCTGCTGTCTCGTGAAGGTGGTAATAGACAAGTTGAAATTCTATTGCATTTCTGGCTGTTTAAAAGATGTCACTTTGCTCAGATCGACAATTAAATACTGTAAATTCTTTTCTTTTTTTTCAGTCAGTTGCTAAATATTACCTGGATCTGACATTTTTCCTCTGTTTGCTCTGTGTTTGGGGGCTGAGTTGTTTTTTTCGTGTTGTGTTTCTTTTCAATTTTTTAAAAATATATTTAAGGTTTTTGTTTTGTTTTGTTTTGAAATTACTCCCGTGGTATTTATTTCATCATTTTAAATGTCATCCTGTTTGTTTTGGACTGTACGAAAGCAGAACCTGTGATAAAGCCGGCCTGTTCTGCATATGTGCTTTGAGAGGATCATGAGATAGGTGCTTGTAGTTCAGCACTTCATGTAATTCAGCACTTCACGCATCTCTTTCTTCTGAGTGACTAGCATTTTATGCTATTAATAACTGTATTTTGTTTAGTTGGGCTCAGGCAGAAGAAACTGTGATAAATGCAGCAAAGAATGTCTCTATATGGATGTAAAATGGGGTTGCTGTACGTGTTGTGAAGTTTTACCAGCATTGCTGAATAAATTCAAATACCTTTTTGTACTCATCCAGTTCACATTTCAAAATGTTTCAACATATTTGGACTTACTACCTAACTCGTAACATGCTTGTGTGAGCTCTGTTGTGGTGACAAAAATCCATTATTATTATTTATTATTAAACTATCAATAAAATTTCCAAATCTGCTTCTGCTTGTTCATACAATACAAAGATACTTGTACTGGTTCGCGTGAAATGCCTGTAAGCCATTAAATTTCCATATATTTAGATGCATATGTAGTCTTTAGTTAGTCTTTAGTTTTTATGTAGTCTTCCCAGGTCAACTAGTGCACCATGGAACTTGAGTTTACACCTGCTGATATAATTGCTTGTCTTAGTTAGATGCATATTCCAGATTTTTTATCTGCTAGATCTAGAAAGTTGTTCAAAAGTGGAAGAATTGTTAGAAGACTTCCTATTCTCGTATTTTCCTTTGAGAGTTTGTCTTTTGAATGCTTCTACTTTTTTTTCATGTATCTGACCCATATTTTTCCCATCATATATTTTTTGCTCACAGGCGCACCTACGTTGGCAGCATGCCTGGCAGAATAATCAATGGACTGAAGACTGTTGGGGTTAATAATCCAGTGTTCCTTTTAGATGAGGTTGATAAACTGGGGAAGAGCTTGCAGGGAGATCCTGCAGCAGCCTTACTAGAGGTAAGAGATATCAAATTACTAACAGTTTTTTATTTGTAATTAAAAAGAATTAAAATACTGCATATTATATACTGAAGATCGTTCACATCTTACTGTCCTTGCACTGCTGAAGAGGAGGAGGCATGAGAGAGATAGTAGTGTCAGCTAAAAGTCAGCTAAACTGAAACACGTCAGGCTTTCCAGAATAGACATAGTGCTAGTGCACTTAATGATTCTGGTATTGTGTACATTTAGAATTTCATTGTACTGATTTATTGTTGCAGTGTCTAAAACTTTTGTGTGTTCTCTCTAACTATAGAAGCTACCATCCCACCACTGAAAAACTTGAGCTGCTTCTGTGGTTCTTTACCTGTTTCGGTCAAAATCAGTTGGATTAGTAAAATACATATCTAAATTTTTAGGGCTCATTTTAGGTGAAATGATTTTTGGAGTAGTCCAGGAAGGATCTCAATTTTCAGTAGCTGAGAGGTTGTGGGAGGGGATGGAAGTAAATAGTTCTACTGATATTTGTGCACAGTGACATTTTAATGACTTTTTTACTGATAGTGCTTAATATAGTGCTTTGAGGATGAAAAATGCTACTTGATGTTACATTTAGGTATCATGTGCTCATCTGTGTGCTGTATGGCTTTCTACAAATAAAACATCATTTGACATTCTATGGATGTCATTGTTTTCTTCCTGCTAGATAGTATAAAATTACTATTTTGGCAAAGCCAGGTAGTTCTTTTAAATTCAGTGTCTGAACGGGTTAGACTTCAGAGCTCTGCTTTTATCTTGGCATGTTAACATGATCTAGCAGTGCTAGAAAATAATGTGGCTTCACTTTTTCAGCTTTTAAAAATGACAGCTATGGTTCTTTACCTGTCTATTTTTCAGGTGTGTGGTATACATTCCTAGAATGCAAAGAAAATAAGCAAGGGAGTCTAAGAAATATTTAAATTTTCTTTGTATTTTTCTCTTATGAGATTTTATTTAATCTTTGCTGTTAATGATAATGAAATCTGTTTCTGTATTTGCTGGTTTTTTTTTTTTTTTTTTTTGTCATTTCTCCTATAGACATTAAACTAAACTGACCTTCCTCTGGTCAATGCACGGTTAAAATTATACCTGAAAGTCAAATTCCTTTGGCTTGCTGAATGTGGTTTGCTAGGCAGTCGGTCACTAATAAAGCAATGATTTGTGTTTCCTGAAAAAGAGAATGAATTTTTCTTGAAAGTGTTCTGGTTACAAATCTTGAACGTTAACATTAATCTGTTAACATTGATATTTCTATTCAAACTTGGTGTTGCTTTTTCAATTTATATTTCCTTCTCTGTCCTGCAGCAGATAAATGATAATTTCTGTCCTTTTCTTGTCCTGTCAAACATGTGAGAACAAATTAAATGAATTTGTTTTTGAATTATTTGTATTTGAATATTTTACTTTATTTTTTTCCCCAACTGCTGTGGGAGTGCAATGTTTTGAACATTTTAAAGCCTTAATCTTAGTGCAGGTGCACAACTCATCTTCTGCTATGAATTATTCTAGCTGAGGCTCATCAGGTTAGCTTTCAACCGTCTGCTTGGGCTGCAGTCTTTATGTAGGTTATTGCTAATGGACCAAAGGTTGCATGTGGAGAAGTAATTGCTGTATTAACCATGTCTGGGCTGCTCCCATGTGAGTTCAGTATCTCCCTCTACTGTTGTCTAAACGTCCTGAGTCAGGTGCTTACCTCTAAAAATGGAGAACTCACGCTTGAACATAACGGCTTAATTTTCATCTACTTTTGGTCTTTTACGTTGTTGGAAAGTGTGTCTGGAATGCACAAAGATAACTGTTGTGTAGGAAAACTAACAATAGTAAGTGATCACCTAGATGACACTCTTGTTTTTCAGATTTCTGTTTCTTGTTTGCTAAGTGCTGTCAGTATGTATAAGTGGTATGTCCTTTCTTCTTTATTGTACAGGTATGTTTGACACTGTCTACAAGACAGTGTAGTGAGGAAAATGTCATATTCTGTGAGGTTGGAAGCAAAGCTCAGTGTTCCATAATTGCTGAATATGTGTTGAGTTAAGGTGCTGCTGCAGAGTTGTTGCTTGAGCAAAGCAGAATGTCGTCTTATCCCTGGTTACTGTTCATCAACAAGGGAATGCTTTGATCTAAATTTAGGTGACCTCAGTTTAAAATAGAAGAAAATAGAAATGGATTCAAGTACTTGATAGTGAGTATTTGTATGCAGGAAATTAGACCAGGAACATAGCCAGGCAATTAAATGTTCTTCTGGATTTTGGGGTAATAAAATGCTGATATAGAGAAGTCTTTGTACATATGTGAACTGTCAACCATAAATTAATCAAGATGTTTTGTTCACTGAATGCTCTTTTTGTACTTAATATTTTTCAGTTAGTTGAGTATCTGAAAACTTTTGAACTTGAACTTTGGCACAGATACCTAGCTAAAGGTTCTGTTTGGCTTGGAAAATCTGTGCTAAATGTGTGGGTATGGTCCTGTTTTATGTCTTACTCTAAGAAATGATTACTGTAGCAATGAATTATTAGTCTATAGAAACTAAAGTCCATATATGAAATATCAGATAATTTACATACATTCAGCTTGCTTTACCTTTATTGGCTAGCATTGTTTGTGCACGAGTAGAATAGTATCACTATTCTATATATAGTATAATGTTCTAATGAGCAGTCTAGCACTTAGTAGAAGTTGTAAGAATTTCTAGTTACAGACTACCAGGAGAAAGAGATAAATGTATTTATAACCATTAATGTAACAAAAAAAAAAACACTACAATGCTTGAGTTAATAGACTGGAATTTTGTGGAAATGCTGTGTTGCCAGTGTAAGCTAGATTAGGATTTGCTGTTCAGGTCAGTTTTGAAAATTTTTTAAGATTTTCAAAACTTTTGAATGGAAGACTAATGTTTGATATAGATCAGCTGTCTTTGAAGAAAGTTGTAGATATTCTGCTTGGATGCAATGTATGTGATTGTGTTCCCCTGCATTTTAGGACTAGATCTTAGGACCAGTGGAGTTAAGAGGCAACTTGCTAAGCTCTATTAACACTACTGATGGAATCATTCATCTGTGCATTTGACTAGTCAGGAAACTTCATGGCCTGTGCTTTTGTTAGTAAAGGAGGGAAAAAAGGATAGCAGCTGTCTGCTGGAGAGGGTAAGGAAAGACACTTTTCAGTGGCTTGTAGCCAGTGAACAATAATCCTCACAGAGTTACAGTCTTAGTTAGAATTTAGGTATATGCTTCAGCATGTTTAAGTATTTCAATATCAAGAAGGAAGTACGATTTGTATTTTACTGTAGCCATAGTACATTTCCATATATTCACCTAAAATCTTTGTAGTACTTCAAAGTGAAAGAGAAACTGTTATACTTAAAAGAAGTTCTGCTTTGTTTTCAATATGCTAGAAAAAGAATATTCAGAATTATTTTTATCCTACCTAGCTAAAAAGTGTTCAAATTCAATTTTTTAAAATTAACAACACTGTTCTTGGCTGTGATTCAAATTACTAAGACATGTGCATTCATTTTGGTGTAGGCAGATACATTATTTTGACAGCAGTGTGCTAATTCTCAGGACATGCTAAGGTCCTATTATTTGTAATGTGAGAATTATTCATGTCAGTGTAACATTGATAATTCAATATGTGGGAAGAAAATGCATGGTAATGCTTTAAGAGGGGATGGAAAGAGGTTTGTACATAATGGTAGTAAAGAACAATTTCTGGTTGCATGAGTGGGAGCGCAGTGAATGGGAACAGTCTGTGGATTTATGTTGATTCCTGACTGACCAGATTGCTGTTTACAATGGAGAGATTACTGAATTTGTGGACAGAGGGAGAGCAGTATGTAACTTACCTTGACGTTAGCAATACTTCCAACAGTTTTGCCCCCAACGTCTTTCTATGTAAATTGTAATATTACATTATGTTTGGGTGACAACTGATGACATGCATAATTAGGCTCAGACTGCATTGGTTAATGGGTCCGACTCTGTGAGCATGCCTGTAATATATTGAGTGCCAGAGTACCACTGGCTGTACAGGAAGCAGTCCTGTTGTTGCTATTAACAGTAACCTCAAGGAGATGAGGGCATGCACTTGCATCACATTAGCAGATGATGCCAAATTAAAGAGGACCAGTCAATAGGCTTGAGTGTAGGGCTGCCATCCAGAGGGACCTAGACAGGCTTGAAGCAGGGGCCAGCAAGAACCTGAAAAATTCAGTAAGGACAAGTGCAAAGCCCTGAGCTTGGAGAGGAGCAACTTTAAGCAAGGATGCAAGCTGAGGACTAGCTGGCTCTGGGCAGCTCTGTTGTAAAGCTGGAGTCCTTGTTAACACCACACTGAATGTGAGCCAACAGTGTACTCCAGCAGTTAAGATGGCAAACAGCATCAGGAGTTGTGTTAACAGGAGCATAGCCCATAAATCAAGGGATAGGATTATCCTCTTTACTTGGCAGTCGTTAGGCTGCATCTAGAATAGTGCAACACACTTTGGGTTTCCCAAAGCAAACAAGATATCAAGAGAATATGTGTAAGATTAATTTGGAAGCCTGCTGTTAATGCATTAAATTATATCAGTTGTGAACAATATTAGTATAATATGATCCTTTGAAAAAGAAATAGGACAAAAACACTTTGCGTTGAGAATACTTACTCAGATATATTTGCAGTCAAATTTCTCTTTACCTCTGTATAAATTGGCTAGAAATGCTTGTCTCTGACAACACGAACTAAATGTGGTGCATATTAAGGTTTCTGCTTTGTGACCTAGCCAAAACAGAAACTGATAATTTCATGTATGGAGGAAAACAGCAGAGAGAATTTTATTTTGTTCAGTGAAGAAAAACAAACACTTTTTTTTTTTTTTTTTAAATAACTGTGCTATTCATGTAAGTACACTGATAATGAAAGGAAATGTTACCTTCCAAAAGTAGAAAGAATGAAGAGAGGTTGAATCTTGGATGTAGAGTTAAGTTGCCCACAGTGACCTCAATCTCATAAAGAGGGGTCCTGCACGGGACCTCTTCAGCCTTTGGAATTAACTGCCCATCTAAAGTTAGGCTGTCTGCAGTGGCTGGAGATATTGCTGGCATTGTGTATGTTGTTGTTAGGAAAATTAGAAAAATAAAAGTAAAAATAATTTTAAAAAAAGCTGTTTGGTATGTGATATGAAATCTAGTTTAAAGTAATCTGAGTTTGGCAGGGTATAACGAAACTTCAGTAATATTCATAGTGTATTTTGTAAATGTAAAGTGAGGTTGACAGATCCAAGTAGAGTATTAACAAAATGCTTATACTTCATTTACTTCGAAATGAACAACTGCATTAATTTTGTTAACTCTTTTTAAGGTCCTGGATCCGGAGCAAAACCACAGTTTCACTGATCACTACTTAAATGTAGCCTTTGATCTGTCCCAAGTCCTTTTTATAGCTACAGCCAATACTACAGCAACTATCCCACCTGCTCTGCTTGACAGGATGGAAGTCATTCAAGTTCCAGGTAATGCTGAAGTGTTGTCATTAAGTGGCTATTGCAAGTCCTTAAACAATGTTTTACCTGGAATAAAAATCATTTCCTTAAGCTTTCTAGGAAACTAAACTGATAGCTAAAATCATCAAAAGAGACTATTTGCAATGCTTCCTTTGCATTCTCTGTCACTAATGAAGTAATAGTATGAGAAGACAACTTACTGAACTGTTTTCTGGAATTACGATTTCTAATTGGTGTGAAGTAATGTAGTAAACTAAAGACTGGATCTTTAGAGAAATACAGGAGGTAAAAGTTTGTGGCCTTACTTTTACAACCTGAACTGGGAGCCTGCCTTCTATATGCAGTAGCTAGTTTTGTTTCTGTAACACTCACCAAGCCATGGGAAAACTGTGTTCCACTTTTTGTGCTGAAGACTGTTTGTCCTGTTATATTAAATAATGATTTGATAATATACTGCACCTGTCCCTTCCCTTTTCTTTTAGACTGCCTAATGACTAAGATATAACTATCCAGGGTGGCTACCACCATGCAAGGCATCAAAACAACTTTTAGGATCGCTGAAATAGTGACCAATAGCTGTCTTTTTTTTGTATGCATGCATACATATGATGCCCAGTTTTATAGACTTATACAAAATATGTTTAATGATTACCCTATCACATTAAGCTCTGTTTAGAGATGTAAAGAACTTGTGTATCCTGATGCCATGTCCCTGAACTGAGAATTTCTTTAACAGGAGGAGTTATTTCTTGGTATGTGTGCCCAGCAGCTTAGTAAGCTAGAACTACTGTAAATGTAAATGAGAATGTTTTTCTTATTCTTCTGAAGTCTTACTTTAGGGCCCTGTGTCATATTTGTTTTTAAGGTAATTACCTTTTAAACTGAATCAGGTATGAAGTTGTAAGAAGTTTGACATTATAGTGTATAAGCAAATAGATTAGTAAAAATATTCTTTTTTCTAGGATATACACAGGAAGAAAAAATTGAAATTGCTCATAGACACTTGATTCCTAAACAGCTTGAACAACATGGCCTTACTCCGCAGCAGATACAGATTCCACAAGTAACCACCTTAGACATAATTACGAGGTAAACCTATTACTCATCACTTGAAGTTTTCCATAACTTATTTTTCTGGTAACTAGCAAATTTTGAAGTGATAACACAAAGCATTTTGTAAGATCTGTTGTCCTTAACGGACTTGGAATTCCAAAAAATAGTAATTTTTGGAATTGCTTTTTCTGTGCTCATTTGGGTTCTGCTTTCTAAGTGGAACCTTTCTTCCTCTCCCTTCCCTTGTTTTTGGTTCTCAATCAGTGGCTCCCAATCAGCAGTGTTGGCACCATTGATAAGGCAGTATAAATAAATAGAAACACTTGATGCTAATATTGCTGCAGTGTTCAGTATGTGCATCCGTGGTTTTGGCAACAGACAACTTTTTTTTCCTTAAAGAATGAAGTTCTATTTCTGTCATCTTCATACAAAAAAAAAGGAATTATCATTTTGTTTCTTGTGAATGATGGACCACATTTGTCTAAAATTGGAATTAGTTAAAAATGCATTTTTGAAATAGCTTGTATTAATTAGAACTACTGTGTTCGTTGAACACATTAATCAGAACATTTTTTTGAACTTGAAAGTGACTTGGTTACAATGGAATAAGTGTGTTGGTAATGAATGAAGTATTTTATGACCAAGAACAGAATTTTGGCATTTAGTAAGTGCTTCTGCCTGGCATTTCTTTTTAATTCATAGATTAAAAGAAAATACTCTTTTTCAGTCAGTTCATGCAATTTCAGTGATCTGTGTTTTGAATTTAAAAATGGGTAGGTTTCTCTGAAAGTAATGCCTCCTATTTATTTCCGTGGAAACTACAACTGATACAAAGAGCGCAATAACATTGTTTGATAGAGCAAATTCTTATCTACAGAACACTATTTTTCAACATAATCACACTGTGCCTTTTTGACAGCAATTGAACAAGGGCCTGCATGTCATGCTCATAACAATCTGTATCAGTGAACATGGCATGCTGTCGCCACTGTTGAAACGTACCATTCACCACCGTGCTGTGCTCTCATCCACTGTTTGGTCTCCATAAACTTTCAACAAGTATCTGTGAATGTCAGTGGCTGCTACTTCTTCTGCATGGAGGAATTCAGTGACACGCCTTTGTTTCATCCACACCTCCATGTCAGATGCAATTTTGTCAGACTGCCCCTCTGCTGCCATCTTTTGCACAGCAACCAAATGTAATGGAATTGGTGGGAAGGTTCAACCTCTGCTGCTGTACCACCACCATCCACCTCTGATATCATGGGCCAACATAATAAAATAGAAGGCATTATTTTTGGAGCAGCCATTATAATATCCCCTTGCACTATTTTGTGATTTGAGAAGAGCTCATTGTTTTTGGAGCATTGTATAGCATTTCATTAAGGTTTGACTCCAAGTGTTGCTTATATTTCCTTCCAACTCAGTAGTTTGTCTTTCTTAATTTTATCAGCAAACAACAATTATTTTGGTTGTTGTATATGATAGCCCAAGATCTTTTCATTTGGATGTGTTTTTTTAAAAAGAAAATGTGTTTAAATACAAACGAAATGTCACTTACAACTGTGTCTACACTAGGTACACTAGAGAGGCAGGAGTCCGCTCTCTGGATCGAAAGCTGGGGGCTATTTGCAGAGCAGTGGCAGTGAAAGTGGCAGAAGGGCAACACAAAGAAACAAAGCCTGATCGTTCTGAGCTGGGTGAAGGAGAAGGTGTGTATCTTTTTTGTGTTTTACTAAAGAGGACTCTTCTAACATTGCAGGCTCTAGTTCGCTGATTTATCAACATTTTCTCCTTTTTTATGCTTCTTCAAAGGCTTTATTTTCAAAAGCTTTGCAAATAGACTAACATTCTTAGTGTGTGAATTCAAGTAGTACTGAATTATGGCTTGGGACAAAAATGGCATAATTTCAGCCTGCCAGAGTGGTAACTGAAAAGGATAGTGGATCTATTTGATATCTTAGATAGACAATTCTGATTTGTGTATTTCATTATGCTTTTTTATGCAAATCCTACACTTCAATTTTTCTTTAATAAAAGGCTTAGCAGTGGCTTTAGTTAATGTGTTTAAAGAGGTTCTTTAACTGTCCTCTGTGTGTTCTATCAACTCAAAACTCAACTGTTTTATTGTACTCTAAAGTAAGTGACTGCTTGGAGATCTTTGAAATTAGAAAGGTTTGGAGGCTTTTTTTAATGTGTCTTTGACTGCAGCACATCCATCACTTGAGGGCCATTCATTTAACTTACTAGTTAGAACAAAATCCTAAGAAATGATGCTTCAGGGATCTCTAGTGATTAGAGTTTTAGTGTTTTCTGTTTATTTGTTTATTCACTCTCTTGAAGAATAGAAAGCTTTGACTTTTCACTTAGCTCTGAACAGTGGAATTGATAATTTTGCACTTTAAAAGTAGTAGAATTTGTATTTGATCCAAGTGTGTAGTAACTCTTAGTCTCCTGGATTTTGTCATCTTCAGTAAGTCTGTTCTCCAAATTTACAGAAGATAGTGATGTATTATTCCCAATGATCCAAAAATCTATAAGCTTTGTTAGCAATTGCAGCAGTTCAAGGTAGAAGAGAAGTGTGAAAGGATTGAATCTGTAGCTGAGCTTATAAAATGGCTATTTTTAAGAATCAGAATTGTCTGGGATCGGGAAGACCTTGAAGATCATCAAGGCCAACCATTAACCTGAGTGCCATTGGTAAACCATCTCTCTTAGTGCCATATTAGTCACAATAAAACCTAGCAAGCAGGGTATTGGGTCATTTTTTCATTGTCTAAATATTGCTGTGAATCTGGTTGACACTTTTGGACTGGAAGTAACTGCAAGTCTTTGTGCCAGAAGATACCAGAAAGCAAAAACTGCTGAATGGCTGCTTGCTTTTGCTTGAGACATGAAATACTAACAAGACCTATTGGCTTGATGTTGCAAAAGATTCTACAAGTAAACCAATGTCAAAAAACTTATGGGTTTTCCCGCAGCAGGAATAGTTCTCTGCTTGTTTAGAGGAGGGCAATAAGGGGACTTGTAAGCTGCCTTATTTTATTGGAAAAGATAATAAGTCTGAATGGTTACCCCTTATACCTCAGAGTAAAATAAGGGCAGGAAATAGAACTGTACAATAATATGTACAACAGTATTAACAGCAATTAATTACAAGATCATTTGAAGAAGATTCTTACCATAGAAGTCTGTTTATTTACAGTCTTTCAGCTTTTTCTTGCCTTTTTCCCCTAACTTGGTATTTCATTTCTGAAAATTATATCTTCTTTTATGTTGCTGAGTTTTCTAAGATGATCAGAATGTCTATGGAAGCTACCTGTAATAACAGAAGTTTGCATTTGGTCCACAAGTCAATGTGGACTCACTTTAGTAGATACAGCTCAGTTTTCTCTGAAGGCTTAAGGAAGGTAATCTTTCACATTAACAATGGCTATGCGTGAGTGAATGACTGCAGTTTAAATTGACCCATCTATGTGCATATTTATTAATGCTTTCTGTTTCTGTCTATATGCTCTTCTTTTTGCTGAATTTTTCTGAAGTCAGATTCTGAGTTTGTTGACACTTCCATGATGCTTGTAGTGGCTCCTGAACCAGGATGCTGAGCCTTAGGCTGTGGTAGCAATGCTCACTGGTAGCAGGCAAAATCAGTTATCTTAACCACTGCCACGGCTGTGATTTTGACCTGATTTTACATTTTTTTAAGTATTTATTTGCACTGACAGATAGCAAAATATGTTTAAAAGATCTAATATGATTGCTGAATAGAAGACCTGTTATCATCCTACTCTTCAAGTCTTTCAGTAAAATAGAGGAAAAGTAGCTTCAGAGCACAACTGATACTGTAAGAGGAAACACTTTACTATTAAAGCATAGAATGAAAAGGAGCTGCAATAGATATTTTGATCCAGTGAGAGAGGCATTTGCAATGTTAAAATTAGCACTGTGCTTGCAACTTAGAAGAGGTATTTACACTGTTAAATTTAGTATGGGACTTGGAACTTACCAAAGTTAAGCAAAAACAGCAATCTCAGTGCTCCCAAAGAGGGCAAAATGCAAACACTTTTGGTTGACACATGATTTGGAACAATTTCTAAAGAAATGATCTGTAGTTGTCTTTGTGCTTCTGGAATTGAAATTATCTGTAAGAAAAAGCTGTGTCGATAAAACAAAGTCCAAAGGAGAAGTGGACCTATAGTTAAACTGGAGTATTACAAAAACACATAGAGAATGGTGTGGTCAACAAAATGCTTCTTATTTTCTGCTAACGATGTGCTCATACCCAATTGTAATTTTAGCAGAATATGTCACTTACTGAGGGTGTGTGAGAATGGGACACTCATTTAAAAACAAAACAACAAGAGCAACAACAAAACTCTTGTTTGACTTCCATTCAGTCTGGAAACAGCCAAGTATTTAAAACAAAACTTGGGAATAATCCCCAAACTCTCAATACTTGCAAGTTGATGCAAACAATGGGATTTTTAACCTAAATTTCTTAATTTCTTTCTTTGATTGTATTGGATCTTCTTTTTTTTTTCTGTTCTGGAGTGGACATTTTTTGCTGTTGTGCACAGAGACAGTGAATTTTGATTTCATGTAGTTAAAGACTGGAAGAACCATTGGTCAAGTTGTTGTGTAAGCATCATTGTGAAAATCAATAGTTTAATTTTAAACTATTTCCTGATTCATTTATTTATTTTTATTTATCTGTATAAAACGTCATAAGTCATTTTTGCTTTAAACATTTAGTGGCTGATGTGGGATTGAAACTGCAGTTTATGCATTTGATGTCGTGGGTTTGAATATGAGCGAATACTCTACAGGCTCACCTTTGCTAAAGCATATTTTGTGTGTGATTTGTAGGATATCAGAGCAGTGATATGCGTATGGAGTTTATTCAGTTAAGAGCCTTCTGCTTGTGGCTTTATAAAAAAAGGTGAAAGTAATGAGATGCTAGCATCACAAAATTTCCATCATTATATTGATTAAATCAGATCATTAACTTAAGTGGAGCAAGTTTCCAAGTCTTTGTAGACACACGGCTTTTGACACTGTAGGCTCTAGGAGTGCCGAGTGCCTGCTGTGGCAGAATTAATGCAAGGAGGTACGCTGTCACTTTCCCAAACAGTGTGTCTGAAATACACTGGCAGCTTTGTATTGCCTTTCTCACTCCTTTGACTCCTGGGCTTTATGATGAAGTTGGCAAGTAGAAGGCTGTTAGTTTGCATCAGCCATTGGATTTGTATGGTAAGCTTCAGCAAAAGCAAATGGAGTCATCTTTCTGACCTCTTCAGAGAGGTCTTGTGTACAGTAACATCATCCTTGTATACAGTGACACACACTACCTGCTATTTTACTGAAACTCTATCTCAGGTTTATGAGATACTCCTTTAGACTTTGACGCTAGAAGAAATTCTAAGAGTGACAAAAACATGTGAGACTTTCCTATTTTAGAGCAGCAGCCTTGAGAGTACAGTGCAACAGCTGAGTCCTAAGGCATCTTATTGTGATACGGTGGTTGAAATCCAGGATGAAAACATGTCTTTTAACTTCTACTGTGATATGTGGTTGTTCCTCTGAGATCAGTGGGAACATGTATATGTCATCGTTAATGAAAATCTTAATTGTGTCTTCATAGATTCTTCACAGTCATGACTTCAGTAAAGACGATGAAATCATATTTACAGATGCATACATAGAACTAAGTGGAAAAAGAACAAGCAAAAATAGGAAATGGTGTTGGTTAGATAGTAAAACCTTTTAAGTTCACTTTTGTTTTATGATATGAATTGCTGTATCAAATGGCTTGGGTTTTGGAGTAGTACAGTTGAAATCTGGGTTGCAGGAAGAGCACGTGGGGTTATGTTTCCTAGACTTGCTAGTATTTATGTATTTAAATTTACTGTGTACAGAAATAGTAGTTCAACAAAAATACAGAGACAAGCTGGATCAACAGGAGGGCCTTCTGACTAAGGCAGTGTTTACAGTAAAGGAATAGGATTTATACATTGAGCAGTGAATTGTTGTACAGTGGAATGATTAGTGGCTGTTGGGTAATAACTATTAGATTTTAATGCTGCATGAAAGCTGAGTTAATATTTTAATAGTGATTCTGATGTTTTCCTTGGTACTGTATGGATGCATTAGTGAGAATTGTGCTGTAACAAAATTAGCAGTAAGAAAGCTTTTCTTATACGTCGAGATTAATAAAAGTGTGGTTTGTATCTCATGAAGTGAGACATTTTCTCTTCACTTACACTGAATGTGGCACAGAGCACCTCTTAATGTTATGTTAAATAGATCAGATCATCGATTAGTGTTTTCCCACAACTGTTTGAAGTACTGTAACTTCAGTTATTGTACATGCATTAATATGCAAAGCAAGACAGTTTCTTCATTGAATGGGAAAAAAATTCTAAGAAAGGAAGCAACTTTCGACAGTTTTCCAAAATGTGCTGCAGAAGACTTTGGAGCTCAGTGCCTGGTAATGAAGGATGTTGCTTAAAATGTGCCTTGATTTTGTACGCTTGGGATGGGATGAAGCATCTTCAGTACATGTATTTGCACAATGCTCAATGACGGCCTCAGGGAAGGGAGGCATTGCTGTAGAACTCTGCTACAAAACTTAGAAACATCTGGATGGTTGAACTATTTTTCATTTCTCTGATAAATGTTTCACTAAAATATTGGTTGGGGCTCTCAAGAAAATAGCAGGAGTCCTTTGCATCTGGCTCACATTCGATGGGAAGTCACTCCCTGCTTGCATTCTCCTTCTGTATGCAGTAATTTAAGTTTATGTCAGTGTAGGCCTAATACAAATGATGTTTAAAACAATTTTGATACTTTGATGCTTATGTGGCCTTCATTACAGTTCATTTTTGTGCAGAAAACAAACACTATAGCAATCCAAAATTTTACCATTAAGGAAACAATTGTATAATCAGCAACACAGTCATACTTAAAATGGAGGCAGAAAAGAATATGCTTTTGAATTTGTAACTATTGCTGTAATTGTCTGGTCCCTTCTTGTTGACCCTTGAGTATGTTGTATTCAAAAGTGTCAGGCCAGTTGGGTTTTATAGCCCTTCCTGGAGCACGCATCACACTTATAGATATATCTGAAAACAATGAATAATCTGATATTTGGAGTTTGTTTTGCTGCTAGTGTCTTTTGTTCAAGACACATTAGAAATATCTTCTTCAACAAAATAGCAGAGCCATGTTAAGGGATAGTATTTCAACATAGATAGAAGCCACAGATGAAGGTAGTTATAGTGAAATTGTTTGGAGATCTTCATTGAACAGGGGCAGTACATGCTGCATGGTCAACTGGGTGTTGAAAACTGATTTTGTGAATTAAGATTTTACATAATGAAGCCATAGTAGTCGTAGAGGCAAAAATCAAAGTGGAAAGCATAATGTGAGAATATTGCTTCCTATTGCTGCTATTTGACCTACTTAAAAACATACTTGAGCAGATAAGTTGTACATCTGTCAGTGGTCTGGATTAAATATTATCCTCATAGAGCTGTTAGGACCAGTTTAGCATAAGTAATTAAAATTTGATACTGTATTACCTTTAACTTGTCAAGAATTTTGTGAAAGATAACTTTAAGCTTTTTTTCATGAGCTTTTCAGGTAATTGCTCTTGAGTGTTTTCCTGTCATAATTTCTTTAATTCCTCTGTCAAAGACTGTTACAAATCCTAAATTAGATTTCCTTCTCTTAGATTGCAAAGAACATGTCACAGAAGACGCAAAATCAGAATCCATCAGTGACACGGCTGACCTGGCTCTGCCACCTGAAATGCCAATTTTAATTGATTTCCATGCTTTAAAAGACATCCTGGGGCCACCCATGTATGAAATGGAGGTAACATCCTCATTCGTTTCTGTTTGACTGTTGTTCTGTCTGTTTTCACTAGTTGTCTATTTTATTGCTGTTGGCTGAATTTATACATTATTAACTTATTAATATGTGTATTAGAAATAGGACTGTGTTTCTTTGCATTCCACCAAGCTTTTTTTCACATTAAGAATATATATATATTTAATTCTGAGTACAAAAATAACATAATGGCAGGACTTCCTGTTAACAAAGATGCCTCTTTGCAGCACTGCTTAAGAATGTGGTGTCATTTTTTCAGTTCATAACGACTTTGCTTTTGTTTGAGGGATGTTTTGTGGTCTTGGGAAATAAGCCAAAATGCACCTCAGGATTCCTGTCTCTGTAGCAGCTGTGTTAAGGACTGTCCAACATACCTCCTTAATGCCTATCAGTGTTCTTGGTATTAAAACCACTTCACTTTAGGCTGGATGTTCTCAAACATTCTTCTTGTTAATGAGCTCTTATCTATAATAAATAATATTAGGATCAGTCAGTCACCTCCAGCTTCCTAGTGTCTGCTTTGTTTCTCAGCTGGCATATTATAGAATTCTTCCCCAGCCACAGTTTGCTATATTTTATGGAAAAGGCCATTCATGAAATTAGTTAGTTACTTAAGCATTCTCCTTTCACTATGTACATTTCAATTATTCTCTGCTTTACTTTAGGCCCATGTGAACTTACAAGTGTAAGTAGTATATATAATACTGACAGCAGGCAGTTGCTGATGGAACACCATTTTTTTTTTCTTTTGTTCTCCTGGAGAAAAATTTGGTAAACCAGTAAGTTATGGAGAAAATAGCAGTGAAAGAAAAACTTTAACAAATGTCAAACTGCAGAGGACTTACTGTAGTGATTCATCCCTCTCTCCTAAATGAGAGAACCAGACTCCAGTGGGATATGGAGGACAAAGAGGGGACAAGGTGGTAGCAGCAGATGACTGATTGCTGAGGAATGCACCAGTTTTTTAGTTCTGAAGTTTTCAGACATAAAAACTGTTTGTTCTTGTTGAAGAGATTCTTAATGAAGAGGCAGAATTGAGGAAACAAGTTAGACAAGTTGTTACTGAGAGTGTTAGAGGATGATGATGGTAGAAGTGGAAGTTAGGGGGAATTGGGGGCTAGGAAGATCAGGTTCTCAAGAGACCATTACTTTATGACTCCCTTGTCTGAGGTTTTTCATGTTGGCCCTTTGTGTTCTGATTTTATTTTTTTGAAGAGATTGCTTTTTTAGGCAGATGACCTTATAAGCAACTTCTGTTAATTCTTTTCAACTCTCAGAAGCTGCTGTGCCCAACAAAATCACACAAGACTGTGATTTTAGCTGAGATGATAGTGTGGATATACCTCAGCTTCATTTGGAATGACTGTAGCCATCAAACTGTTTGTAATACTCCTATGGACATTTTTAATACTCTGCATTACTACCTGTCTTCTAGAAACTGTTACTGAAAAAAGCACAGGTCTTATTTTTTTGTTTGTTTGTTTGATATACAGAGAAGTAACTTTCTATCTGAATTTTCACTTTTGAAGGATATTACATACTTCAGACACCTGGTCTTTAGAGCTAAAATACTGCAGGATTACTTGGTTTTTTAATGCTCAAAATATAGATGCACATAAAGCTGCTAGAATAAGTTGCTCTTAATGTTCAAGTCCGTATTATGAATTCCACTGATTCCAGAGTGCTTATTTGTTTTGTAAAGATGCTAAAAACTAAATGTTGTTCATCTGTGCAAAAGTTCTGGTCACTCGCAATTCTATTCCCAGTCAAAAGTAGAATTAATTCAAATAAATATAAACTTATCACACTTCTTGAAAAATGAGTTGGTAGGCCCAGAGGTATGCGTGACTTTCTTTCAGTGTGCTGACTAGTTTTGAACTTGCCCTGGAGCCAATTATTTGTTTCTATGTGATAGTGCAGCTGAGTTGGCAAATTTCTGCTCTTTTATTCTTGTTCTGCAGGAATAAGTCGTGCAAGTAGCATTTCTAAAGTGTGCTTCTTTTCTCGGAATATGCAAATGTGTGAGTGCTGGAGTTTCTTTTTGCATGCACAGTTGCCATGAACATGCTTATAAGCGTTTCATGCCAGCCTGTTTAATCTGAAGTAAGACCTGACTGAAGGTTTTGACTTTAATATCAGAAGTTTTTTAAATGATTCTATATTTAGTAGGCAAATTAAGTAGTGCTTAAGTAGAACTCAGCGAATCCACACCATCAATTCCCTGAGCAGTTCAGGATTAATTTTCATGTACTATTTACTGCATGCAATAATGAGGATATCTTTTTCCATACACATGCCTTTGCTCAGTGTAAATTGTTTGGATAGCCACATAATTCCAGTGTTAATGGATTTTCCCAACTAATCCATAATTCCTTTGAATTTCACGTGGCCTTAAGATTCTTTCATATCAGTGTAGCTCCCATGTTGGTGGTGCATCTTAGATCTACTGCTGTTGTTTTTTCAGGTGTGCTGTCTGCAGCATGCCTTTCTTCACAGAGCTTTTAAAGCTTCACGTTTGACCCTGTTTTGCCATTTATGATTAGCTGAAATAAAAACACAGTGGAGGCAGTCTTTGTGTCAGTATTTGGATGAGACTGAGCAAACAGAACAGAAAACAGGATGTGACTCAATTGATCTGTGGTCCTTCAGGGGATACCGTAAAATGAGTGACTCGTCTTTTACCTTTACAGAATTTTGTGTATTTTCTGCAGAGGTCTCCCAGCAGAAAGGCATGACAGATTAACTCAGCTCATACTTGCAGAATTAATTCATTAATCACAAATAAATAATTGTATGTGTCACCCTACAGAACAAATGTTGAAATTAATCACATGCTAAGGCTTTGGAAAAATAATCTTGACAACAAATGAAAGTGTAAGAGACTTAATGAAACATCTCAGCACAGCAAGCCTTTGTAGGAAGGGGCTTGTGACATATCCAGCGTTTTTATAGTGCAGCTTCTCTTTTGCCTTGGAATTTAGGGGTTTTTTTTGTTGTTCTGTCATCTTCTGAGCACAACTTTTGTGTTTTTAAGTCAGCCTTTTTTTAATATTCATCTTTTTTTGGCTGATAACCAGAGGTAGCAGCTATAGGGCAAAGTTGTTCACTCTTGCTGTGCAAAGGAAGCCACTTTCTAATTGTGAAAAATAAAAAACCTGATCATTAAGAATTTTGTAGCTCTTGTAATTGTATTTTGTGATTGTAATTTTATGATGGGATGTTTCAGACTAATACTGAAATGTTAATGTCTGGCTTCTGTTAGAAGGAATGTTCTCATTCTGATAATCACATTGAAAGCCATATTGTTTCTTTAGGTAAGCTGGTGCTGTTGTTTGTCTTGAAACAAAACAAAATGCACAACAACTTCAGGCCAAGGTACTACTTTGTGACTTTGTTTCTACTGGGCCTGCAGGGAGATGTTTTAGCAGGAGGCAACAATAGTTAATACTGTCTTAGAAGCTCACAAATCCAAGTATTTCTAATACAGGCATTTCAGAGCAGAGGCATATGGCTTTCTGCCTCCAGGTGGTTAAGATGAATTTCAGTACAGGTGCCTTTCACTGAGGGAACTCCCAAAGCTAGGTAGCCTTCCCCCAGCCATCATCGTCCTAAAGAGGCTTCCATACAGATTTCTGTGATCTTGCAGTGGAGCTAACGGTTAAGAGAAGTCAGCTCTGTGCATAATGAGTTTGGCATTTTTGGTGTCTGTACAATGTCTGATTGGTTTACTCTCTGCTGACTCTTGGAAGGAAGCAAACAATGAAAGTATTTAAATTATGGGAAGTTGTACAGTGCAGAATGAATTGATGCTAGAGGGGAAAAAACATTCTGTTGCTCTGGAGTATTATAAAATGAAATATTAAATGTTCTTAGAAGGAACAAAGGTAGTTTGAGAAGTTTTAATATGGACTTCAGAGTTGTCATACTTTTATTATGTTTCTGCTGTGATGCTCCATTCATTTGTTCTTTATCCAATAAATGAAACAATTCTTGAGATTTTCTCAACAGTGTAGTGAAGAATTCATCCATTTCAGAAATGAATCAAATTAACTTTCAATTCTGCATTTCAGTGACAGACTAAAATATTTTAAAATGGGCCTACTGCTTTACTTTACAAAGGCATACTTGTCTTTTGCTATGCTCACAGCCTGACATTAGAAATTTATCTGGTTTCCTTTCTGGCTTGTAAAATAGCTCAGAACATGCGGAAGAGCTGTATGGTCTTTCATAGGAGCTTCTTCAGCTTATTGTAGCCCAGGACAAGGACTTTCTATATATTCTAAAAGTCTTTCACGTAATGGAAAAAAAAACCCATAAAACTAGAATACTCATGGAAAACATCCTGCCTCTCTTTCCTTCTACTCAACACAAGAGACTGAGATTCAGACCCTCCCATTGCTCTCATCAGTATCTGGACAGAATTTTAGATAAGTAGATCACAGCCCTGCATGGAGCAGAGAGTTTGCTGACTGCTAGTAATAACTAATGGAGGCAGTCAGGTTTCCCATCCTTCACATCTGACCTGAACACTCAAGTATTTCAGATTGCATGAATCACTGTGCTGTCTGACAGTACTTCAGGCAATGATGTCCTTTGAAATGGCCCAAATGATCGGTAGTGTTTGGGCTCAAAACTGGCTTTTTCACGTAAGTAACAAGAATCTGGATAAATACAGTTTAATTCATCTGCTAGAGGTGTGTAGCAGTCAGTATTGACTAAATACTTAAGAGTCCTGTGAAGTGAAAAGAAAGATTCTCATTGAACCATTGGGAGTGGAGAAGGTTTTGAGAGCAGTTTGCCATTGCCCCAAGGTAAGGAGCTGCACGTGGATACAATCGCTGTAATTAGCGTTTACATGTAGGCCATATTACTGCTGTATTAAAAAAAAAAAAGAGACCAGCCCTAACCTTTCTGTTATACTCAGTACAGTCGTTTTGAAGGCAACTATCAAACTGGTTTTGCTATAGTTTTGTTGCAGCTGTTTCTTACTTTGTTTCCTGTGATTCTTTCAGGTATCGGAACGCTTAAGTCAGCCAGGAGTAGCCATAGGCTTGGCTTGGACTCCGCTGGGAGGTGAGATCATGTTTGTGGAAGCCAGCCGAATGGATGGGGAAGGCCAGCTCACTTTGACTGGTCAGCTGGGAGATGTCATGAAGGAGTCAGCGCATCTTGCAATCAGCTGGTTGCGCAGCAATGCAAAGAGATACCAGCTCACTAATGGTAGGTTTTGGGAAAATGACAAAGACCACATGTATGTATTGCATCACAGATATTGACCTCTCACTGCATGGATGCACATTTAGAAAGCATTAATATTGCATAGAAATTAAATGTCCTATCGCTTGGTATGTTCCAGTAATTAAATGGAAGGAAGCATTGCTAAATAACAGTGGAAGTTAGCATACCTGTTACAGAAGTACTTTGTACTGCCTTAACAGAGAAAGAGTTTTCCAGCAATCAGTGCCATACAGAAGTTGAAAGCAGCTCTAGAGGTCCCTGTTGGCTCTTTTTCTGATTTCTGCTCAGTTGCAGTTTTAATGGCCTGATGAACAGGTGCAGCCTAGGCAGAGAGTGAGTTGTCATTGCAGATTCTTCCAGCCAGGTCAATCCCTTCCTGCACCAGCATGGATGGCTGGTGAACTCTGTGCCAGTATCCTTCTGTGGGTTGTGACAAGTACTGCCTTTTACTCATTTTTACATGCAGCCTTTCTAACAGTATTTTTGTAATGTGGATACAGATACTCAAGGCTGTAGTTTTCCTCTAAATCTAGGCTGAGGTTTCTACCAAAAGTAGTTTCTTATTGTCTGCTTTTATATTTTGAGAATATTGAACTGAAGTGAAATAGGATTTCATCCAAATTTTCAACCTCCAAAGAGTGCTGTGTAGTTTGATCATCAGCTGATTAGCCAAATAATAGCTAAATAATTTTCAGGCATCTGTCAGCCATCTGTCCTTCTTTACAGAAGCTTAAATAGCTTAAAAAAAAAACAACTGAATAGATTGGGTGTGTGAAATGCTGCTGGCATTAACAGTGTAAACTTGAGAGGTAAACATAACATACAGTTAGGTCGTGTAGGTGAAGTAAGATGAAAAGATGTAAATGAGAAATCTAAGTTATTATATTGATTAATACTGCTTTTTTTAAGAGTGATACTTTTGTGATATTTTCACTGAAATCTAGTATTTATAGGTTAGGACCAAAAACTAAAAATTGTATGTAGGAATTCCTTGGTCTTTACAGTAATCTCTACTGTGAATTTCAAAACACATGCAAATACTGAGCTGATGAGTTACCTTGTTATTATTTGTATTCTGATGTAGGAAAGCTTGTGGGATTTTCTCCCCCCTGCACCAAACATAAGCAATACAATGGTTTTACAACGCACTTGGAAAAAAGAAATGAAAAAAAATAATGCTAAGACTTGTAGTTCTCCAGTGGCCTTTTAGAAAAAAAGACTGGGAACAAAATGAGTTTAGATTTTTCACATTCAAACCTTTCTTTTTTTTCTTTAAGCTTCTGGAAGTTTTGATCTCCTTGACAACACTGACATCCATCTGCACTTCCCAGCTGGAGCTGTCACAAAAGATGGACCATCTGCTGGTGTTACCATAGTAACCTGCCTTGCTTCCCTCTTCAGTGGGCGGCTGGTGTGCTCAGATGTAGCCATGACAGGAGAAATTACACTAAGAGGCCTTGTTCTTCCAGTAAGTATTGTTTGGAAAAGAGCTACGTTGCATTAATTCTCCATATTCTAGGTATAAAGTCTGTTTTTAGCCATTTTCAAAAGCACAGTCTTACTGGATCATCCCTTAGCAGCAGTCTAGTCCCTTCTGGTGCAGCTGTAAGAGGCTGGTGGAAGGCAGCCTAGGCTAGTACTGCACGCCTGCTTTGCATTCAGTATTAAAAATGGCCTCGATGCAGTTTTCAGGAAGCACACATTATTGATACGTCTAGTTAGAAAAGAACCCTAGAAATCCCAAAATTCAGTATAGTTCCAAGATACATATATTGCTGTTTCTAAATATGCTTTCCTCAATACTATTATTACAAGATTATCTTCAGTTGCACTGAAAAGCTGATTCTTGAGTTCTGACAGTATTTTCATATAAATTATTCTTGAAATTTTCTCTATACATGTAGATGTTTGGACTCTTCTTAAATGTTGCTCCATATATATATATATTAAAAAAAACAGCTGAATGATGTTCCTATAAACCTTCTTCAAAGCATGAGGGCAGAAGGGAAATTTTCAAGGACATACAGTGTTAGTTTTACGTATCACGTGGAGACTGGTATAATTAATTAAAGCAGGTAAGAGTTTTCATCTCATACCATGTGGTGGACAAAGGAAGGATGAGGTTGGAAACAGTATTTTGTTTCATGCAGTAGAGAGCAAAGAGTAGATAACATCATTAAAGTATGTTTCAGAGTTCTTAGGAGAGGATCACTGATACCTGGCAGCAGTTAGACTGAAAAGATTGCTGCTGTTCAGGGCTCTGGTGATAATTAAGCAATTGCATTAACTCTGCTACAATGCTCGTTTGCTTAGTTTCAAATAAATTGTTTTTATTGCACCAGTGACTATATTTTGTCTGTTGTTTGAGGTAGGTGAGGAAATATCTGTACTTAATTTTTTTTATAAATGCCTTACTGTCTAAGGGTTGTTTAGAATCATTAGTTATTTTAATGTTAGTTCATCTGCTACATCTACTGCCTGAAAGAAAGCAGCATGGTAAGAAATAAGTAGCATTGCCCTGCCTAAACTGATTGCCATGAGTATTTCTGGTTCTCGATTACCTTCTTTTATAGAAGCCTGTTGTTGTGTTACAGTACAAGATGTTCCTTTCCTCTAAAGCAACACAAAGCTGTGAGTTTCTTCTGTATGATGGTCTTAAAATAGGATTTGAAAAAAGTGCAAGGGGAAGAAGCTACAGCTGTGACTAAAAGAGAAGCTAAATTTAAAACTGTCTTTGTGTGTCATCACAAACATAGATACAGGTAGCTTGCTGAAGTCATGCCTACTTTTCTAGAACAAAAACATCCTTGTAATTTTGGGGCATTTTCTTTCATTCAAATGAAGTTTGTGTAGAATTGGAAGACTTTCCTCCCTAAACCTAATGGTTTGAAATTCTTCTGTCGTAAGAAAAAATTGTTACAGGCAACTTTCTCCAAGAAAAGTACGTGCATTCCTGGATTTTTTAATCTAGGGGTCTCCTGTTACTATCTGTAACAAAGCATGCTGTAAGATATTATATTTGGAACTAGGTCCCTTCCAACCTAAACTGCCCCTTGGTAAGCATATAGCAAGCTAACAATACTGTTGCATTCTTAATTACTAAATCATTGGGGGAGGGAGATGCTCATTAAAATTTAACTCCTGGTGTGATTTCCAGGTTTGTTACAGTTATTACTTTATGAGATTAGTGTCACAGTTTTTTCTTATATTTCTTTTCCTTATTAGGTTGGAGGAATTAAAGACAAAGTGCTGGCAGCACACCGAGCTGGACTGAAGAGAATTATCATTCCTCAAAGAAATGAAAAAGATCTTGAAGAAATTGCACTGAATGTACGGCAAGATTTGACTTTTGTTATGGCAAGCTGTCTGGATGAAGTTCTTAATGCAGCTTTTGACGGAGGATTTTCAGTTAAGCCCAGAGTTGAGCGTTTGAATAGTAAACTTTAAGTAGGTTGAGATTACTTCTTTATCAAATTTTAATAGAGATATTAAACTAGATATATATATCTAATGTAAGTATAAATATGAGCTAAGACTGATAGTTTAAAATTAAGTGTAAATGAAATCAAAATAGAAATACTGCTTTAGCAGTTAACAACCCAAACCCATATTTGCTGGGTATGCTGCCTTTTGCTATTACCAGCAAAGAATCTTGAAAAAAATACTTTTTTCCTGATAGTGAGATTCAAGCATGAGTAACCTAATGCTGTTGAGAAACAATTCCTTACCTTATGTGGTGTGTAGTTATATCATTGTCAACAGCTGATGACATCTGCAAAGAGTTCAAGCCCACAGCCAGGGAACAGTACGCAATTTGTGTAGTCAGAGAACACAAATTGCAGCAAACACAGCACAGAACAGCAAGAGGGGTAATAATGGGGATGTTAACCAAAAGCAAACTGATTTGGTGCACAGGTGTTTTCTTTTTAGGAAGTAACATTGAGGCAATCTGTTAAGGAGGGGTGGCATCAGAAAAATCAAGATTTTGGAATTTTTAAGGAAATGCGTAGAAGATTTAAGGATAACAGAAGCAATAGTTTGTAGCAATGTTAATGTAGGCATCATTTTTTCAAACCTAGTTACAGGAATGCATTCATTTTTGCCTATTAATGCATTGAAGTTCATGTGTGCAAAGCTGTACTTACATTCCTGGAATTAAGTGGCACATACTCGGAAGACTTACAGAAAAGACTCAGCCTGGTAACATTTGGGAGGGACAAAGTACGCCTCCTTAATTCTTAAATGATACAAAACTAGGAACACTGCTGATTCTAGGATACTTTATGTTTAGAGTTTAGACTCTAAATACTATATCCATTTAAACAATGCCAATAAAACTACTGGATAATCAAATTTTATTAGGTAGTACACACTAATAATGTAAAATTTGGGAAAGTGTTAATATCCCCTCTGAGTCAGTAGCTTTCTCTCTTCAGTGTTTAACACAGGAATTTAACTTTATAGATCTACAGTTCTTGAGTTTTTCATTGTTTTGTATGAGGGTAAGCCACAAGAGAAAACCTAGTCTCTAGTATTCTGTTCTTGCTCGTTAATTCTGAAACAACTTAAGTATCCTTATGAAAATGCAAATTCTATCAGTGACAGAAGAATCCTCTGTTTGGCTTTAATTTCCGTTGGTAAAAAGAAAGCTGATTTACCTGGAATATAATGGTAATTATATTAATAAATTCAATGGGTATTTTTTCACTAGGTTATAAAACCTTTCACAGAAGACTTAATCTAATAAAATGATTTAAAAAAAAAACTTTTTGCTTTACTACTTTAAGAATTACACACTTTAGTTATTCATTACCTAAGTTCCACAGTAAAGAGACAACAGTCTCTATTTTTCTGCCTCAAAAATTGAACGCAACAGGTGTGAAATAATTTGACAATCAGTAAAACAGCAGAAAGGAACAATAACTAATATGCTGCTTTGCCTCTAATCAGGACTAGTAAGGGGAAAATAATATTTTCTTTATTCAACTTAATGCACATCAAATGAGTCCTGCACTACTTAACACTAGTAAGAGAACAGATACGCATGGAACTCTCGTGCAGTCTGTTTATACAGGTAGAAGAACTGCACTTTTTTTTTTGAAAGATAGCAAATACTGTTTTGTTTTTTTTTTTATTTTAATAATAAGCTTCTACAGCAACTTCAGAAGAAAAAGGAGTTGCTCTGAAGAAAAGATAAGCAATGAGTTTCTGACACACTGCTCCAACTCATGTCTTGTCTACATGGACTTTATCTGAAAGGTGAGAGCTTTAATGCCACTGTAGAATACTTTTAGTCTGAGTTTACTTACAGCTTTTCAATTTCCCACTTCAGAGCGACTTAATTATGTTACTTTGATTTTTTTTAAATTCAAATAGAAGTATTATCCATTATAGTAGATATTATAGTTAAATGTTTTTGGCTTTTGCTGAGCGCTCTTGAGCATAGCCATCTGTGCAGCAGCAAGCCAAAATAATAAAGATCTTTTAAAGTAAAGTAATTTCAGTACACTAGAGGTTATCCTGCATTGCAACTGACAGTTAAACAGACATGGTAATAAAGATGAGTGTGTCCTGAGACTATATTGTAAAATAACTAACTTTATCCAAAGCTAAAAAGCAGCACTGGTAGCTCCTTTCCTCTGTCCACAGTCCACAATGTAAATTGCTACAGATAAAACTGTCTCACTAATGCAATTCATGCTTTTAATCACAGTAACTTTGAAAACATACTGAATAATACAATGGCATAGGTAGCAATACAGAACAGTTAATCTGCTTAATCTGTTTCAATTTTAAAACAAATTCGCAAATGTGAACTAATGAGAAATACCAAATATTAACATCCATATTTGTCAAACATTTTCCTTTTAAGGCTTTCTTTTTCTTTTCCCAAAGGCAATGAAAAACAACAGAGGTAGTAGTACTAGGGGACAAATGCAAGATCTACTGCATTTCATTTAATCAAGACAAATGTGAGTACTATTTCTCCATATAGTAAAGTACTTTCTAAAATAAACAGCTAGTGCTAAAACACTGCCCAGCTTTAATACACCATTTATTTTAGATAAGGTAGTAAACTGTACAGATTTATAATATGTTTTCATTTTTCATATATAACAGAGCACGGTTTTATTTTCCAGATCCTCAAACTACTAACAGGAGAGATGTACTGGCTTATGCTTCCACTACTTTTGAGGATCTAGGCCTAAGTGTAATTTGCTTAATCATTCCATCAGATGATGGACATCAAATTTTTATACAGGTTGTTTTTTGTTTTCAACCAAATGGAACACTAGTTTACAGGAAGTCAGTACACATTATTTATGCTATAGTATTTGTCATCTGTAAAGCATGACTAAAAAAATCTGACTGTTACAAACACTATTTTTAGTCCCCTTCAGAAGTGTGTTCTTGATTTCCAGCCTAATAGAAATCACCATAGAACAGTGCAAGAAGGCTCAAAGTTCTTTTGGGTAACACGAATACAAGCAGCAGCAATCTTGCTAACTGATGCACTTACACAGCCCTGTGATGCTCAAGTTGCGAGTACCAGACTGCTCAGGGTGACCCTAGCAGGCTCTTAGCTAGATTTCCTTTCAAAACCTGAGCTCAAAAGCAGATAACATGAGCACATGACCTTCACTCCAAGCCAGCCAATGGGGGGAAGTGGGTCCATGCCTATAAAAATAATTTGCATATTTAGCCAAGTTTCAGTCAGTAGACCAAAAGACAAAACTCAGGTAAATGTAGGCACATTTAATCAGGTGAGTACTGAATTCTGAAGACTGCACACAATTTGTTGTGTACTTGTAAGGAAATGCTAGACTGAAGGATTATCTCCTTCTCAAACATTTATCTATTGCCACAGGATACCCATACATCTTGTACATTAAATCTGTGCACAATTCCAACAGCCTAAACCTAATTCTAATAAGTAAAACTTTCCTTCATTATATGACAACAACTGCTTCTGTATTATTTTATGAATCCGACTTCCAACTTGATAGGCTTTATGTTCCTTACCTGTAGAATTACTTACCTCATCATGCATCAAAATAATATGAACAAGAGTTGTCTTAATACATCTATTTCTGATAAGAAAGTTAAAGACAGTGCACAGTAAATAAACCGTATTTTAATGTGTTACAAAAGGAATTAATAGTCAGGCTACCTCTCCAAACAGATGTCCAATACTACTACGTTTGACAAAGATTTCCTTTAAATAGCTTGAGATGAAACAGCTTTTCACGTTATCCTTTTTTCTTTCTATGCATCTGTTTTGTAACACAAATACCATATACATTCATGGTTAATTTTTTTCACATAGAGGCAGTCTGCACAAAGCCCATATCTTACAAAAGCTGTTACGGCTGGTGAATCATATCTGTAAGAGATTACTTGCATTTGACTGTGTATCATATCACCAAAATAATATACAAAAATCAGTTCAAGAAAATTACTTCAGTAACAACCGAGAGACAGGAGGACAAGAAAGTGAGCAAGAGTAGTAGTGTGTCAAACTTTGAGCTAAAGCACAAAGAAAAAAATTGTTTTTAAATTTGCCAGGTATTCTCTTAATGAGAAATGTAAGAAGACTGAAAACATCTCATTCTGTCTGCCCTTTCTTTGTTTTTTTTTTTGGTGTTTGTTGTTAAACAAATGGCCTGTTGTATAGTTACAAACACTGTGAAAGACAATACCTTCTTTGTACCAACAAACCAACAAACAGAAGGATGCAAGAGAATTTCTAAGTATCTCTAAATTTGAAACGTGATTTTTTTTAAATGCTGAAAAATCTTTGTAATTCATTTTTGTTAGATCATAACTCAAAGTACAACAACATCTAGAGCTGTTTTTAAAGGAGCTTTCTTTCCTGATGCATCTTTGAACATAATTACTCCTTTCAAGTTCAGTACATTCACAAAATAGCTCAATTAAGAACAGTATCACCAATTAATTGACTACTGAAAAGAGACAAAATTTACCAAACATACAGAAATATTAATTTTACCATAGCAATTATGCATATCGAAAGATGACACCTGTATTTAATTTTTTAAAGATACAAAAAAAAAAAAGAGAAAACCTGAATTACAGAAAAGAAAGTCATATTTATTTAATGAAAAACTAGAAGTTAATAAAAATTAGCAAATACACAAAAAATATACACAAACAGCAGCAATACTATGTAGTGACTTACAAAGGAGGGGGGAAGGAGGGGCGCGGGAAGCAGCGGCCAAAGCCCAAACCGCTCAACATGGCTTGTCAGTCAAAGGGGGAGGAAAAGAACACAAACAAAAACACGAAACAGTATCCTTTTCAACAGTACAATCAATCTACAAACAAGTTTTTAGAATTATTTTACAACATTTCCTGTAGAATCAATTCTTAATACAAAAGATGCCCATTTTGGGTGTATATATATTTTCAGTGGTTTACTGTTGACTTATTTTAAATATATTAGTGTTACTACATGCAACTGCTTCCTGTAATTTAACAGCCTTTCCTTTTATTTACCTTCATATATGTCTATCCTCCATCTACCAAATAATTTGTCTGACAGTCAACGATGGTTACCCTAATTTCTGCTAAATTAAATGCAATGGTTTTAAACACTGGCCTGAAGAGGTTTGATTGCCATTTCAACACATCGATATAGTTACGTTGATGCCTAAATTGCCATTTTCTGCAAAGAGCTGTGCAATGCTGGTGTCAAAGACTAGACAGTCACTATTCATAATGGCTGTTGCAATTCCCTCATGGATAGATCGAGGAGTTGCTTCCCAAGTCAGTCGCCGCCTATGACCGTTTAACTCAAGTCGATAAGCAAAGTTTTCTGCTTGCTTGCGTGTTCCTATCAGCTGTACAATCGCAAAGAACTGCTGGTGACCATCATATTTTTCCTGTTTCTCCAATACTAACATGAAATGAAAGCCAAAACAAGACTGCATCATAACCCAGTCAACAGCACCAGGAAGATTAATGTCTGTAGCAAGGAACACTATATCTTCTCCCTGAAGTGTTGTAATTGACTTATGTTGATGCATCAGATGTGGCATTACAGCATCCAGAGAACCTTGCCATTTACATGAAGCACCAGGACATGGACAGGAATAAGGCCTAAACTCACATAGCTCCTCATGGTCTGCTTTTTCTGTGTGTGGCAGAGTTATCTCACATCCAGAAGAGGCATATTTACACGGGAATAGTACAGAATTGGCAACTTTCTCCATAGCCAGGTTACGAATGGAGCCCAGCGGGCCTCGGCAAGTTGGACAGCACGTAAGTTTGGGGCGACAGTTGCTACAAACAAGGTGGCCACTCTGACACTGAAGAATTGGTGGCAGCACATAGTCAAAACAGACAGGACACTCAAAGAGACTAGCCAAGTCATTATTGGAAGCTGTAGTGCCAGTCAGCGCAGGCACTCTCTGAGATGGCGTACACTTTGAAGTACCTGTAGGTAGTGCTGTAGCAGTCTGACGGCTCATTTCTATAAGAGAAGAGAAAAAAGAATGAGAATACTGCAGAGATTATATCTAAACAAATTTTATTTTATTCTGCATACTGTATTTTTTGATTACGAAAACAAATCCACATAAATTACACAAAAAGAAGTGAAACCCAAACATGCAGTGCAACTGTGCGTACTTTACACGTAGATTTCCAGCTATGCTCCAGAGAATAGACACTGGCATGACACAGATCTAAAAAGAAAAGATGTTCTGCTAACTGTTCTGAACTGGAATTTACCTATCGGAAGCTGCAGGGTAAATGTGTAAAGAAGTACTAAGCGTAGCTGAAATCTTCAAAGATTTTTCTTTTCTGGTTGATGCTGTTGTTTTTGTCTTTGTTTTTTGCTGTTGTTTCTTTTAATATTGCACTTACTTACAAAACATTCCATTCGGTCAGGTGGGTGTAACTACTGAGCATACTACATAAAACAAATCTAAAGTTGAGATTTAAGCTTTACATAGAAGAAACCAGCCATTTGAAATGAAAAAAGAAAAAAAAAGCTTGAATATCATAATCATATTTACTTATCAGGATAATTAAAAAACAACAAACCACCAGTTAAAAGGAAAAACACAGCTAAAATTATTACACAACTCTTTCCCAGGATAGGATAGCTTTTGAAACACATCCATTGCTTTCACTTGCTGAACTAAAACATGTGTGAAGACACCAGGAAATAAATAGAAAACAGAAATTATATATATATATATAGTATTATTATTATATATATAATATAGCTTTCTAAACAAGACAAGAAATTCAAAAGATGAAATTTGAGAATTAAGAATTAAGCACTGCTTATGAAGTTTTACATTCGGTAGTTTTCAGTTCTATTCTTTCCAATGTCTCTGACCCAAAGTGGCTGTCTGACTGCACAGTGCTTTCAAGCATTCAATGAGCAATGATAAAAGGCCCATATGTCTTAACACGTACAGGTGCCATACTTTGTCCTGGTCCCCCTGACTCCTCTCCTACTTGCACAAAAGAAACCACTAGTATTGCTAGGAAAAATAAAACCTCAATATTGAGAAGACAAGCCTTACCTCCATAGGTTAAAGTAAAACGCTATCCAGAATTGGAATCCATTATACAGAAACATTCTTAACCACCTTAAGTGTTTCTGTGCAAGTACATCACTCTGTATCTGTTGTGTATGAAACCGAAAATAAACTTCATCTTTAATCTCCTTTATATTTGACATGGGAATATTAAGCAATAGGCAAGCTTCCCATATTTAGAATTATTTCAACCACAAACAAGCTTACTCATACTTGGACTAGATACCTCAAAGCAGCATACTGTGCGTGCTTTAGCAAGGCATGCACTATTCAGGGCATGCAGTGAACAAACTATGAGATTCCAAGAAGCAAAACAACTTATCCCTTGACGTTCATAAAACAGCTACAGTGGTCAACGTCACTCTTTTCAGCAAAAGCCCCTTCTCTCCAATCCAGAGCTCAAACACAGGTGTTTTGAGAGCTGGCATTCAGTCTGAGATTTCAGTCTCATGTGCCCAATACCAGCATCATGTCATCTCATTTTCCTACTTCAAGTATTTCCTCTAAATGGAAAGTTTTAAGTGACCTACGACAAATCAAATCTATGCTCTGGGAAAGTGATACCCCACCAGCTTGTTGCAGAGAGTTCAGACAGTCAGCCCCAGTGATGACTGAGCGCTACTGCTAGTTTTCTCCAAAATTTGTAGATGGGAGACTTGTGATGTCACACTGTAGTCCAGGAAAACAAACTGCACACAAAGAGTAATTAATTGCACAGTACCACACTGCTTGGAAAGAGCATAGGAATCATGTACATATTCCTATGTAAAATTCTGAAAACATCACCTTGCAGAAATTGTAAACACGTTTTGGAAAACTTCGTGCTTCATCTTACTTGCATCCATACCTCCTGATCCCCAGAGCCCACAGACAACACTGGGAAAACCACTGTTCCCCAGGCAGTCTGACTGGCCGGGTAAGCTTTGCTCTGGCTGATAACACCTCCAGGAGCCAGTATCACAGTTAGGTAAGCAACCTCCAAGCCTTGCACAAGACCTCACACACAGATGCACTTCCACATCGGCTTTCAACGCTTCAGAAGCACTGAAGAAGATGCTGCACAGCCCTGGTTTGGCACCACTCCTGCCTGTGCCTGGCTCTCAAACACAACTGAGCACCATCCCACTGAACAGGGAGCCAAAATGCACAGGAACGTGTGAAATGAGCCACTGAGATGAACAAGCAAAGAAGAAACTGGATAATGCAAGAAACTGCAGTTTACCAAGCCCAAACCTGTCCAAAGCGTAAGTTCCCATCATTTGTGAACATAAAAGACGAATAATGCCTCACAATGGAAAAATAAAAAGTTAATTTTTCATAGATGTCTTAAAACCTACAAGGTAATGGCAAATCAAAGTGTTCATAGCATAATACAGTTAACCTGTATTTGCCTTTGTCAAACTTTCTCAACAAATTACCAACCAAAACCAAATACCTAACTGGAAATAAAAGTTTAATTTTTTAGTTACAAATCATTTTCTATGGGTCAAAAAAACCCACAATAGAACCCAAAACAACACAACCCTATGTGCAAAGCTTTGTTCCACACACTGGAAGCAAGTGCATAAGCAATGCCAACAAACCGCAGGATGCTGGTTGTCATCTGCAGAAAGTAATTCCTACAACTCCTACTATTTGAAACATCAAACAAATTCGCCTAAGTTTAATCAGCAGAGTGAAAGAGGGACGCATTTTAACACTCCCTAACTCCAGCCTGAGGACAGCTCTGCTCTGGGTGAAACCAGCCCAGCCTGCTGACGGCCAGCAGCGCGGGAAGCACATGATAGCGTCACCTCCTGCGAGCCATGGGGCTGCACTGATGACAGATACGACAGATCACACGAGGCACATTTCAGCAGAGGCAGCACAGGAACACACTGCCAAGAGCTGTTCTGCTCACAGACAAAGCAAGGCTGCAGTACCCGAGTCTTAAAAATGCTTTCCTACTACTTGAAATTCAGGTTCTGAAATTCAAGCAGACTGTGGAAGCTTTTACTGGCTCCATAACACATGCAAGTTAACACCACTGCCAAGGATTTGGTGCTCTTAACAGAAGACATTGACTAAACACATGGTATATTTACAATTCATCACTGTATGTCCCACCAGGTGAGAGTCAAGGAAGTTTCTGACTCAGGGACTGAGATGAAGAAAAGCAGCAGGAGCAAGCTGTGGAGCATGTGCCACAAGCTCTGCAGTCAGCAAGGCATGCCCAATGCCCGGGACTCCACCTCCTGCCATGCATGGCTGTCCCAGCAGCCGCCAGCCCTGTACGGAGCAGTGCTGCAGCATGCAACACCTGAACAGGCTGTGAAACCCCTGAGGTAAAGTCACAGTGAGAGCAGGAGCATACAGCAAACTGACTGAACAGCCCAGCTGACATGCAGACACATGGAAAACAGCTTCAAAAAAAGTTCAAAAAGATACATATCTCACGTGCCATGGAAGTAACAAAGCATGTATGAATTTGAGATTTATGCCATCTCAGCTTCTCACCTCTCCAAGCCACTAGCTTCAGACACCATCCTGGAATCCTAACTTAATCCATTTCACTGAAATAGAGGGTACTTTTGACACCCTCAGGCTAACACCATCAACTTTTCTGACACCTCCACTTGCTCTCAATAGATTACACTGAGGACTAATGCCTTAAATACCTTTTGAGAAGGTAACAGTATTAGTGTTGGGGGAAAAAAAGAAAAAAAAACAAACCACCACAAAATATCTGTGTAGTTACCTTAATGTTTGAAACAAGAAAAAAATCTTTGTAATGCCTAAGAGTGGTGCAAGGACAGAAAAATGCCTTAGCAAAGGCTTCTACAAGTGATGCAGTTATTTAGTCACATTTTAGAACTAAGTGAATTCAGAGAGTTGCATTCAAGAATCAGTAACTCTTAACACCTAACAGTTATGACCAAGGTTACACAAAATCTTTTATTTTTTCAACTGCACAATCATATCTGAGAATGGTACGTATAAAAATAAAAGCCCAGTTGTGGAGCACTGAGAATTAGATCCCTTTGTTACACAGCACTCAAACTTGTGGAGAACACTGACAGCTGGCTACCTCAAGATGCTGTAGAGGCCAAAGAATGCCAAAACTCCCAAACTAAGTCAATTGTTAAAAATACTAATTGCTTTGCAGGTCTAAATAATAACTAAGAGTAGATACAGTTACCCACTGCCATCAGAAATGTGCGCAATTCAATATTCATAACATTTATAACACAAAACAAACTGAAAGATTCATATCACCAGTACTTCATTGGCAGCAGAAGGAGGGTTTAGTGGATCCAACAGAAGCATGCATGTATACAAAGACAAAAAACACACAAGTACACACAAAGCACATAATCTCATGCCCAAGCACCGGCTAGTGTTACCGATAAAGAAATCTAAAGTGAATATTAACTTAAGAATGAAGGCAATTAAAAAGCACCCTTTGTTCCTATTAAAAAGAAATCAGTGTATTTTAAGCAGAGAACTTCCTTGCCATTTTAAAATTAGCATTAAGTTAATTTCATTTTAAAAGTTCTTAGTTCACCTTATTTTTGGTGTATGGCTGCTCAATTATGAACAACTCTTAAGCTGCTGAGGATAGCCTCTATAGTGCTATGTACAAGCCTGCTTTTCAACAGTGTCCTTAACATTTCTGAAAATAATTTCCCAAGGGATGTACCTTCCCTCTGTCCCCTCCTGCATTCGTAATAGCCAATGCACAGCAAAACCGACAGGAAGGTTTCAGCAGGCACTATGGAAGATGCTGTGTATTGACCTCACCACCACACTTCAGCAAATCCACACAGCACTCAGTGTGTTGGCAGCAAGCACCTTGGAGAATAGGTTGTGAATATTTGTAAAATAATATTTTGGACTTCTTCTTAAACTCATTTGGAGCCCAAACCTTTTCCATTTTGAAGCCTGGGAAATCTTGGATCAAAAAAGGCCTGGCACAGTTGATGTCAAATCTATGGTCACCTAAGCAAATCTGAAAACATGACTGCTCACACATAATGGCCCACTTCAACATTTTTAGAAGTGCTTCTGGTTTGTGGCATAAACTACTAATCAACAGCATAACACATTTAGTCTCCATCTACTGTTTTTAAATTTATAAATTAAGAATTTTTCCAACTCTTCCAGACATCATTTTCTTTAGTACCCCTAATGATATGCTGTGCTGCTTGCTATTTCATCAGGTCTTCTCTCTTCCTGCATAAAAACCAAAAACCACAGCAATCCAATGTAATAGAATATTTTAAACCAAGACAAAGTTTTGAAAAGAAATAACAAAGCGGCAACTTTCATGATTATTTCATTTTGGAAAACAAAGTCAGAAATTATCATCTGTCCAGTTCATCTCCTTTTCTCACAAAATTACAAGAATTTCCATTACCTTGTAGTGAGTCAGTCTGCCTAAAACTGCAGGTAGTCTTTTCTTGCACCTCTAGAAAAAAGATTCCTTACCAACATCTCCTTCCAATAAGCAGGAAGAGAAACCTCAATGGATTTATACAATCATGGGACTGTTCATCCTCTTTGTGATTATCTGCAGTGAACTACCAGACCCTAGCACTCAACATGTGTCTGATGCTACCATGTATGTTCCCTTGTACAGGGAGCTATCACCAGCTGAGTCATTACTAGCGGGCAATCCAGATCTTTTCCAAACTCAGCATCTGTAGCAGATGGAAACAGCACTGTGTAAACACAAGCACTATGTTATTACACCCGTTTAACTGTAGTGACATGTATCTCATCCAGTACAAAAACTTGAGTCTTGGCTAGTGTTATTTCATTTTAACCACTGTCATTAGCTATTTCTCCTACTTCTGCCAGGACATTAAACACTCACCCAGGTGCTGCCTACTTCTAGCTGCCAAAGGTTTTCTTCCCAAAAATCTTATGATGTAAAATTAGGAAGGAAGAGCAACCTAGACAAGGTATACAACAACCACATAAAATATAGCTTTTTTTTTTTTTTTTTAAAGAAACAAAAAACTTCATCAATTTCAAGTGAATAACCCATACTGTATCAATCCAGGACTTTGTATTTCAGTGTATGAATTCCAGAGAATCAAGATCAAAGTCAGTCTCTGATACTCAGTGCTATACTACTGCTAGGAGACTACTCCTGCAGAGAGATGAACTCTGAAACAAAGTACATAGGAGAAAAAACTCTAACCAATAAAACCCCAGATTTCATTCTAGAATGAAAACCAGAAATGTCTGATCAAAAGCAGAAATTCTGTGTCTGGCCCACTCAGTCTGTACTATATAATTAGAGAAAATTCCATGTCTCACACATATTTATGCCTAGAATTAAATAAGAAAACACATTAATTTGCACACTCAGGCCATCAACAAAGTGTTACATGGCACTATATGACATTTATCTCCCCCTTTTTTTTGAGGTTGAAAGGAGAGGAAGCAGAACAGAAATAAAAGAGAAACTATAAATGAAATTTCTGAAAATTCAAGCTGTACTAAAATCAATGCCACCACTAGAAAAAGAAAATGCAGAGATACAGTATGTAAACTGGTATAAGCAAAAATAACTGATATTTGGTTATCTATTGTGATGAAAGACAGGCCAGTGAAACAATCTTTTCCATTACATATAAACACAGAAGAAAAAGAACCATTCTTTAAATACAAATCAAAACCAAATGCTGGTATTAAAAGGTTGTGGATCATTTCCAAGTAGGAGTTTACTGTATTTTTCCTTTTCAAAACCAAGTAAATAACTCAGCTTGCTGATACTGCAGGTCCCCACCCACCACAGACGTCAAGATGGTGATACAGAATCACTGTTCAGAGATGCACATTCTTGCACTGTACCTTTAGCGGTGCTCTGTGACCAAGCCCTCCTCTTTTCTCTGCTCACCAGCTCTGTGTCTTCAATGTCACTATCAGCAGTCAGTCAGTGGTCAGAGCATTCCTTGACAGAGGACGCCTGAACCTCCAGCATGCCCGCACCTGGAACCTACAGCACAACAAAGTGGTTTGAATTCAGAACAACAGCTGTCCCTTATCACAGCCTCCTCTGGCTACCAAACTGAGTGCACCTTCCTGCAGCCTGCCACAGTCTGGACACAGCAATGCTAACTGAGGTAAAGCAGAAGTACGGATTTCAAAATAAAGATCATGGCAGAAACCAAAGAATCTAACAAAATAAAGACATGGTTCATATGAAAACACACAAAACTCCACATGAACAACCAGCAACAAGGAAAACAGTTTTAATTCACTTATTCATGTTTTAGCAATATCGCATTTCCTTTTACCATGACTAGAGCAAACTAAACTGCACTACATCAGGATCATCCTGAAACAGTAATTCTGTCTATAAAAAACAGGTAAGCAGATACCTTTTCAGAAGTTCCAGGCTTAGCAGGTTGCAATAAAAAGTAAGCAAGGCATACTTAGTGACCAGCTACTAAGTAAATCAGTAAGTGGCAGGGGAAAACAAAAAGTTATTTTTCATGCTGTAACACGCACTACCATCAGAAGAATCTGATGCAGAAAGCATTGAATTCTGCTCTAGGAAACATCATATCCATAGATGGACTCTAGACACAAGTTGAGGAAAAACAAGCAAGCACAGAACAATTCTCGAAGTGTTAACAGCAAATCCTACCAAGTACGACAATTTGAGGGCTGCCTTTCTCTCCTCAGTGTGATTTTGCAAAAACTATATTCTTCACTGTATACTGTAATTGCCATGCAATATTGCATCACCACTGCTGTGTCTGTGGCAGACACAGGGAAGAGGGTGTGGCATAGAAGTGCCTACCTTAACTCAATAAAGCTAAACTGAAAGAAATATCTATGTTTTGATGTGCTTTCACATAGAAAATATTCCTGCAATAACTATTCCAATTCTAGATCTGTTTTATACTCAGAAACTTTTATAACTAAATAGTACTAGGGATCAGACCATCAAAACAACCTGACCTGATTCCAGAAAGACGTGGTTCACAGGAGACCAATCATAACACACAGAGCTGCTTTGTAGAAGGAAGAGTCAGAAAAGGATTAGGTATATAGACTATTTTAATACAGACCTCTCCATTTTGTGCACTGCTTAGGTTCATGCGTACTTTTCTCTTAAATATTAATTGGTTCTTGTGTTCTTTAATATGTTCTGTATTCCTGTATACAGGGCTGAACAATGGAACCCAGTGGAGACGTGTGAAGGATGGGTAACCTGCCTGTGGAGGGTGACCGTGTACGGGAGGTCACGGAGACCTTTCTGCCACAAGGTACGTCAAACACAGATGTACCACGATGTGTGGGTTTCAGGTACAACCTCACAGCAGTAGCACTGAAAGCCCAACAGTCAATTCACAGATCTGATTCCTTCCTATAAAATAGATATTCAACTGTCCCTTTTCCAGTTCAGGTATTTAATCTCCTGAAGTGAGCTGGAGTGAGAAAGTGAGAACATTTAGAATGACAGAAAGACAATGTTCTCATTTTCTCTCTCACACCACACACAAATGGGATAAAGTGCATACAATTTTAAATGTAAAGAAACAAGACCATATTCTTAAAATGGGCATTTCTACATTTTTGAAACAAAATGTTCATACTATAGATGATTGTTTAAAACTTTTCAGTACTTCATTTTCTTAAATTCCCATTTTCTACATGCCCTCCATTTCTAGCATCCATTCTTTGAAGTACATGTGTCTCCACTAAACCCAAACCTGTTTAAGTGACTTATTTGTTCTCTGCTCATCAGTTCTGAATCAACTGCTCCTGTTGTACTGTAGCATAAGGATTCAGCTCTCACCATTTAAAATCATGTTTTTAATTGTTATTACAATGCTACTTGCATTCTTAAACTTGGTTATTGGTAAGTTTACATGATCCTTTTTCTGCACAGAGCACCGGCTCTACATTCTTTATTTCTTCAGAACACGCTTTCCAGGAAACACTAGTTTGAGAACATGGCTTTATCTCACAAACAAAAGCACTTTTCAGTCTGTCTTATCAACCTCAGGCACAGCAACCAGAAATGCTGTGCATTGCTGACTCCACAGACCACCACGTTCCACAAGAAGTTTCAGCATTCCTTGAGATGTGAAAAGTAGAATTAGTGGTACTGAGCAGTCTGTGGCGTGGGATATTCGTGGCAGACCTGGGGTTAGTTCCTGCTCCATCACAAGTGTCTGAGTCACTGCAGGCAACTACTTCCCTACCTTTAAAGCACTGTGCGTAGCTGCAAGCTTCAGACAAAAATGCAAAAGGCAGTGAATTAACATGAGGATACTAAATTAACTCTGTAGACCCTTTTCAAATTTACTTCCAGTCAGCAGTAACTAAATGTCATGACATGCTAAATGACATTATGTTAAACTATTTCAATATCTCAATCCTTAATCCAGCAATAGTCAGACTGCAATCACTGATTACTTTCCAAAGATGATCCAAGTCCTGCTCACATATGGACAACTGCCTTCTTCCAAGCCCAGTATTTTCTACATAAGAGAGACAAATTAGGGAGATGAGGCATTTGCAACATCCTTCTCACTGATTTTATCTAAACTGAAGACCCTCTTCTTCCACCAACTCCACAACGACATTCTATGGGAAGCCAGTAATAGAAACCTCTCTTCAGAGGAATCCTTCTAATACCAAAAAAAGTTCTCTCAGCATTCTCTCTGAAGATCCAAGGTGAATAACCCAGGTTTTGAAGCTAGTGATTCATATTCAACAGAACAATAGCTCTGAGACCAGAGAACTGTATTTTCTTTTATCACTATTAATTTCTGTTCAGGTTTATCAAAAATATGAATAAAATGTGCAATTTCACTCATTTCTATCACCTAGGAAATGCTTCACACATACAAAGTTAAAATCCAGGCATAATCACTCTGAAGTCAGGCTGAGACTGTGCCAGAAAATAAATCACAAGCCATTACAAATGCTTGGGAAACAACAGGTGCAGGTATACCTTTCTGCCACTTCATGCTCCCTCAATACTTTCTAGATTCAAACATTACTACATCCTTCTCTGCAAAGTATTGTCCCCCCTTCTGTCATATGGTTATATCAAAACTTTACGTTGCAATGCTGAATCTGGAACATCAAACCCTAACAATGACTCACTACCTAAAATTTAACTGTAAACTTCAGTATTTTGTAACCTTTTTCTTTTATTGGAGTATTACAAAGAAAAAAAAAAAAGGCTTTAAGTTGGAAGATCAAGCACTCAAAATTAGAAAACAACGAAAGTTTCACACGCAACTCTACTTCCTCCTATGCATATTAAGGAACAGCTCTCATGAAATACTTATTTCCTCCCACTCACTCCTTTAGCAGAGCAGAATCTGTATGTACCTGGAACAATTATATTTGCACAAAGAACAATACTTATTCTTTAAACTGATCAGCCGGTTTAAAATAAAGGTGTTCAGGACAGCAGATATTTTAACACACAGAAATGCTCTTAAAATTACTGCTTTACAGGTGCCATTTTAAACAAACATCCATCTCAACTTCTGTTATGAAGTGCCTGCTTTTATTTGTAAACTATCTATTTTACATGATCGTACTTGACCTAACACAAAGCCAAACTAAAATTCACAGTACACCATCAACATCTGCCAGCCAAATCTTCCCCCGTCACACCTGTGCAACCAGTCTTCAATTACACCCTGGGCACACTTGCATAATCACAGATATCAGCCATGTGGGGACGAGGCATACGCAAATGTCTCAACTGTGTTAACTCCTCTGTGCTCCAAAAAGGGGGGAAAGAAAATTCTGCAAATCATAACCCTAATGATTTATACACATGCATATGGGTTTATATATACTTCAAAATAAGCAATTAAGTAATCAAGGGATCAGCTGAGAAGATTTTCATTGCTTTTACTGGAAGACAACTGCACATGCACAGAAGCAGAGGGCAAAGACCAAGACTTAAGGCTAATCTGTATGCAAAACTGAACTACTTCACATTGATTTAAAAATTGCCTTAACCAGGAGTTCATCCTTAAAATGGGGTTATATATGCATCAATACACAAACGTATATAGAAATATGTGTTTCAAATGTGATTTCCAGAACAACACTAAGTAAATCAAGAAAATTGAGACAATTAAGGTATCTGATCCTAAGACAGAAGACAGAGGGTTCAAAAAGGGAGAGGAGAGGAGAGGAGAGGAGAGGAGAGGAGAGGAGAGGAGAGGAGAGGAGAGGAGAGGAGAGGAGTCCATTTTCACAGATTAGAGGGGAATAAACTGATACAATGAGCTATAGGTACTATTTTTCAAAGAGAAAGTAGCAATATTGCATGTTTTAAGGGCTCTTAAATATTTTAATAGCACTTCTAAGAACTGCTCGCTTACATGTTCCTGAAGAGCCTTCAGATACCATTACAAACAACTGAAGAAAATGATTTATCTACAGTACAAAGAACAATCCGTCAGATCTGCGCTGCAGGACTCCAGGCACGTGTACACAGTGTGCCAGAGTGCAGTCCCACCATTCCTACAACAAACAAAAGGAAGCTGCCACCAAAAGGGATGACTGTGCTGCCTTGTACCATTCAGTTTCTCTCTGTTTAAGGTAATGCATTCAGCAAAATCAGCCTCGCACAACTACACGAGTGCTTACACTGGTGCAAGGAAGACATCAAAAACGAGCTGGCAGTGGGAGGGCAAGACTCTCAGCTGTAAGTCTGCACTTCCACTGATCCCAAGCTCTCCTACAAGAGGGGATGACTTCTCTTGCAGCAGCACTTGCTCTTATGTTACCATGCAGGAGGCTATTCTGGGAAGTGAACCAGATAATAGTTGCCCATTCCTCTCAGGTGATTAGTTTTCTCCTGAACCAGGAACTGAAACAGCCCCACTGCACATTCACGCTGGTACCAGCTTCACTGCAAGCGCTAACACTGGTGTCACCACTGGTAGCCTGAGCAGAAGTTATCTTCAATAGCCTAGAATCCTACCCTCAGCATGCTACAGCTTGCTCAGGGCTACATCTTCTGTTACTTCTTTCCTAAAACTGAGGTGTTAGCAGCAACAAATCACATCATTTAGAAATAAAGCTCTCTATTAGAAAAATCACTTTTAAAATCCACTTCAAGCCAGCATGCACATAACATTTTGGCATAAAAAAACATACTAAGATTTACAACATTTATAATCCTAATATTTCAGTTATCAACCCCTTAACAGGTATAGAAAAGAGAACTTTTTTTTCCTCATGAAAGTTCTATAACAAACAAGAGATGACTTTATATACACCTACATTTCTAAACTAAACATCAGCTCTAGCAATCTTTACATAACTGAATTTATTTTCAAGCTTTCTCTTCCCTAATTTAACACTAAGTTGTTTTGAAAAACTCCTTCTCCACTTATACCTTTTCAATCTTTTGACAATTTGTACATTAGTAAAATGTAACATACAATTTTCCTTCAACATTTCATCTGAACACGTGTTTGAGAACAACTCTTAAAACTGCAGCATTCTACATTCTCCTCCTTGACAGCATTCAAACTACAAACACAAGCACTGAAAAGCCACTGCTGTCTTTCATCAAAGACTAAATGAAGTTTTCATACTACATGTGAAAAATGTAGGAAAGAACATCGAAACATGAACTTAAAGGCTTCATAGCACAGACACTAAAGTTCAAAGAATTGCTGCTTCACTTTAAAGGAGCTGATGGCTACTTCGAACAACAGACATTATTATGCTCCACTTTTCTTAGTGTCTCAGCAAGGTCATCGACTGTTACAAGAAAAGATACACAACTGCTTCTAGATAAGGCAAACAAAAAAGGAAACAGTCAACAACTGTCTGCAGGTGGATTTCCTGTTCTTTCTTAATCCATTTCCCTGCAGGAAAATATTCATAGTAATTTTATAAACGCATTTCCGGATGCAGAAGGACAAAGACAATTGTCACCATTCAAATGTTTTACTTCCTAATGAAAACAGACAATCTCAGCTTCCATACTCAATTCTCAGTGCTATGCTTCTACAAAGAGAAACAAGTCACAATCAGAAATGCACCATTTGGTTAATTGTAATCATCTAGCTCTTTATCTGATTAAAGCACTGGGGTATTAGTAACCAAATCTCTCATTATTCCTGTAATAACACAAAAAAATCGCCATTTTATAGATTAACTCAAGCAGGAATATATTTAAAATAGTTGTCCAGAACATTACAGAAGCATAGCATGTACTGTGGATTAGAACTAGAATGTGTATGTGTATATTTTTTTCTTTTTTAGACGAAGCATGGCATAAAACTTAAGAGTATTAATGGAGCACTACTGTCAGGTTTTGTTTTCCTTTCCTAGCATAGCTAACATCTGAACACTTAATGGCACGGTAAAAAAAAAACCCAAACCAACAACCTCAAGTTAGCAGCTTGGGAAGATTTGTTAAAAACAACTGAGAACTAACAGCAAAAACTCCATAAAACCTGCAACATGCAGTGAACATGCAGAATTTATACGCATCTCTCCACTGCTTGTTCACAATGCGATACCGTAACAGAAAGCACAGACCAAAACTGCTTCTCTCCCATGACGCTGTACCGATGCTGCTTAAGATATTACCAGTACATACATTCTGAAACAGTGCAAACTGCCTCCAAGGATTCTTATTAATAAAATAAACAACGGAAAACATTTCACTGAGGAAAAGATGTCTCTACTTCCAGTGTAGGTCTCCCCAAAAGGGAAATCTACTATTCTTTTTTCCCCACATAACTAGTTTTCACTTTTCTTAAGGATAATTTTCCTTTAAAAAAACAAAAACAACAACAACAAAAACAGAAAAACACACACCAAAAAACCATTAAATCAATTAAAAGCTATCTCCTAAATGTTCACCTCAGAGAAGAAAAGCTAAGCTTTGAGTCTTAACTAATGAGCCTAGATGGGCTAGAGCTTGACAGTGTCTTTCCAGTGTACTGCACTGCGACTGGCTTCCTGTGCTTCCCCATTTCTGTGAAGCACTACCTGTGTTGAAGTACAACAATGAGGGATTCGGGTAACTCTACAGGCAACTGTGGGAAACAATCTTCACCCTGAGCATCCACAGACTGCAAAGGTGCAACACAGCTCAGTACATGAGTTAGTTCCTTATGTGTGCCCAGAATTTCTGCTCCCATAGATTCACCTTGATTACCGTGGTTCAGCTCTGCTTCCAAAAATGAGACAACCGCTAAAGTAACATACACAGTGATATTCTACTTGGCAAAACTTTGCCCAACTTTTAAAGCTAGCAGTTAAAAACTAGAAATGCTATTACAAGCAGAAAAATAAAACAAAGCTCTTTTAACTTAAGAACATCATGTTTCTCATAAGAACTGAATATCCAGTTTTCCAGAATATTTTGTGTGAAGACCAGAGCTCTTAAAACTATTCTGCCTGATTTCTTCGAGTGTTCAGACCAGCAGGATTTGCTTCTGACATAAACTCAGTCATGCTCCCCCTCCCTTGCCTGGAAGCAAGTGTCCTTGACATCCAAGCAGACTCCTTTCTCAGTTCACTCTGTGCAGACAGCAGCAACAATACTAAGCCTAAGCACAGAAAATACTTCTGCTATTTAAAATATTTGCTTTCCTTAGTTCACACCTACTTAGCTGGAGCCACTGGATTTCACAGCTAACTAACTCATAGTACAGTCTAACGAGACTACAGCATTAGAACCTTACCAACGTAAATATAGATTAATTAAGAAGATACTCTGTCATGACACGCTTTCAGGATGAAAACGCTCATTATTTCATCTTTTAGAATGTGTGGGTCACAACAGACTCCTAAAAGCATACAAGAGATTGTTCTTAACCTTGTGTCTTCCTGCATAACTTTTTCTCCCTACTGTAAAAATGCTGAAGGTAATTAAGAACATCCGTTTCCATTGAACTTCATGCAACTATCATTTCCAGCACTCAATTTCAACATCAATATTACAGCATAGAGCAAAGTGATAGAAACAGATACAATGCAGTTTATTCTTCAGGCAGGTGTACTTTTCTGCAGCAGCTAACCAGCCCAGAGATCTGAATTTTAAGTGCCAGCCTCAGCATTAGTCTACCTGTACTGCAGCACCTCAAATGTTCTGGAAGACCAGCCAGAGGAACTCGGGGTTGAGAAGAGTCCCTTCTTGTCTTCCTCCCCCTCTGGAATGTGCAGTGCTGGCCTCTGAGTTTAGGAGGGAGATAAACAGACAACTGAAACTACGTCCTGTGCGTGGAACATCCCACGTCCTTCCTGACCTACCGCAATTTGCTATGAGCTTCCTAAAAACCACTCACGTGCACCTCAAGAAAATTAAAGCCACTTTACCTATTTAACACTGAAGCAAATCCCTCGTTACAAAAAAGAGCTAGCATTCACCGAGACCAGTTGAAATAAGGACTGAAGAGAGAACATTAAGAAATACATTTACAGCTGTGAACTCAAACTACTCAAAGCTGCCACGGGTTCACCACTGGAATAATCGCTCGCTTCTTCCCCTCGAGTAACGTCTCCTACCGTACGTGCTGTTGTTTCCCGTGTTTTAAGACCGCGATAATTAAGAGAGGAAAAGGGAAAGAACTGGAGGTCTCCAGCCTTTTAAACGTGCAGAGCTACGCAAGAATCTGCCCCACGCGCTGCTCCCGCAGGACCCGAGCGGCAGGGCACGCAGCCGCCCAGGGCCCCCGCACGGCCGCTCGGCCTCCGCTCGGCCTCCCCCCGGCCCCCGCGCCGCCCCCGGTCTCCCCCCGCCGCCGCGGCCCGGCTGACCTTCGGCGCGCGCTGCCCGGCTCGCACAAAGCGCGGCGGCGGGGCCGGGCCCACAAAGGGGCAGGCGGCCCCACGGCCGAGCGGCGCAGGCCTCGCGGCAGGCCCCGAGCCGGATCCGGGCCGGGCCCGCGCCCGGCGCACAATAGCCCGGCGGCGCCGCCCGGCCGTTGTCCCCCTTCCCCTCGGGGACCCGGCCGCGGAGGCCCCGCCGCGCCTCGGCGCCCGGGCCGAGGCCGCCTCTCGGCCCGGCCGCGGGCAGGAAGCCGGCCGCGCGTAGGCCGCGCCGGGGCCTCGTCCCGAGTCTCCCCGGAGGCCGCCGCGCCGTCCCCGAGGCGGCGGCGTCGGGCCCTTCCCCGGGCGGCGGCCCGCAGCCCGTCGGCGCCGCGCGGGGCCTCTCGGGGCGAGGCGCCGAGGCCGCCGGGCCGCGCGCTGCGCGAGGCGCTCACCCGTGGGCGCCGGGCCGGGAGGACGTCGCTCGGTCGGGCTGGCTCCGCGACGGCGCGGGCTGCGGGGCGACGTGCAGCTCGGCGAGACGCTGGGTGCCCGGCGCGACCCGCCCGCGCGCTCCCTGCCTCGCTCCCTCCCGCCTGCCGGCCGAGGAGACACCGCCACGGGGGCGCGCCGGCTGCGGCGGAGCTCTCCTGCCTGCCGCGCGCGCTCCCGAGGCGGGCGGGCGGCGGCGGCGGCGCGCGGCCGGCAGCGCCTCCGCGCACGCGCACCCGGCAGCGGCGCGCGGGCCGGGCCGCCCCGCCGCCGGCGCGAGGAACAAAGGCCGCGCTCCTCCGGCCGCGCCTCTCCGCGGGGCGGCGCCGCTCTCGGCCCCGGGGCCGCTCGTCCCCGCCGGCCGGCCGGCCGACCCCTCCGCGCTCCCTCCTCGGCCCGGGCTCCGCGGCCGCCTCTCACCTGTACCGCCGCCGGAGCGCCGTCGCGGCCGCCCGGCTCCGCGAAGGAAAGGCGCGCGGTGCTCCGGGCCCGGCCCTCGGCCCGCCCGCCCCGCTCAGGGGGAGCGCTGCCGGGCTGGAGGCGATTGTTGTGGCGCAACGGCATCTGCGGCGTCACGGCCCCAGCGTTCCACCCGGGCTCCGGCAGGACGGCTCTCCATGCGCCGAGAGAGGAGGACGCCGGCGGCCGGAGCCCGACCCTCCCGCAGCTCCCGGTAACGGCCGCACCGCAGCCCGGGTTGCCGCGCCGCGCCGCCGCCTCCTCCCCTCACCGCCCTTGCGTAACGCGGCCCAGGCCAGCCCCGGCCCAGCCGCTGTGTGACTGCGGCGCTGCAGCCGAAGGGAATCGCGTAGTCGCGAGCGTGCTTACATGCGCAGGGCCGGATTGGTTGTCGGCTGAAGTTATTCAGCGGTTTGCCAGAGGAGAGCCGCTGTTTATTCTACTTTCAGTAAAATATTTAGGATGGCAAACATACATACATACATACATACATACGTGTACACACATATATATAATTATTTCCTTTTTAGCCAGCAAAGCAGATTCTAGGCTAGTTTAATTTGTTATCCAGATGGTTCTTGGTATCCTACTCACTCCTGGCGGTGACCAGAAAGCACTTCTTTGTCTAACATTGCCATGTTGAAGCTGCCAGTTCTGCTCTTAGTTCAGAGATTGTTAGGACTACTTTGGAGAAGCTGCCTTCAATGTGCATCACCACAGCAATGCAGTAAGATATGCATCAAACCCGCTATTGAAGAATCTTCCCACCTGTAAATAATACCCATTATTTATTGCCAAAGAACACCAGGTACAGAAGCAAAACTTCCTCACGCACACTTTTTCACTGCCCAGTTGTAACTTCGCAGTGGTTACTGAGCTTTCTCCTGAAGTATTCATGAGGAACTACGCACGTGGCAATGACTGCCAACCTGTAGTGGGGTTGTCTTCCTGGATACTTAAGGAAATACATTCTGATTAAGCAGAGTATTATTCTTGTTGTGTTCCTGAAGCATCATGTTATCAGTATTAGAGGTGTTCTGTTTTTGTTTTTTTTTACCTTTGATTTCAGTATAGATATAGAGAAGTCTATTCAGTAGTGGAAACTTCAAAAAAAGTTGTCTTCTGTAGACAACAAGGAGAAAACCTCTGTAGCAGTAGCAGCCAGTATTTTTAGGTATGAGAACCACAGTGTTCATCATTTGCAGCAATCTGTGTGGTTTACTACAAAAGATATCTGTGATTAAGGCTTTGATTCTGTAAACCTGCACTAACTTTTTGCTTGTGAAAAAAACAAATATTGATAGTCCCACAATCCTATGCATTGATAGTCCCAAATCAATGCATAGCTATAAGCATTTGCCTTTCACAGAGTAGAAACTCATTCCTTGAGCAGTGAAGCTGGACTTTTTCCTACCTCTTTACCACAGCATCCTCTCATTTTTCTCTTGGCAACCTCAGCTCTGAAATGTATCCAGCTTACTGGAACAGACCCCATAGCAACACCACATAGGCCCCATCGCAGTAGGAAACCAGGGTAAAAACATTTCAAAGGTCATATAAGCCACCTTTCTGCTCCAAGGTGGAATCATTTGTGCCTTCGTTATTTCTGACCAATGTTTGTCTAAACAGGTCATAAAAAGGCTCCTACAGTTGAAACGTTAAAACTTGCCTTCTAAAACCTATTCTAGTGTTTATCTGTCTTTAGCATTACACTGTTTCTCAGCATGTATAACTTAAGTGTCCCATTATAAATTTAGTGCATTCTTGAAATGCTTTAGTGAACATACAAGCAATTTCCCCCTTCCATTTCTGAAGATGTGAAGTGCTATTTAGGTTATTAGTGATATTTTACATTTCTGTAAACCTCATTCTGTGTCTCAAGAATGAAGGCAGGCCACCACCAACTGCCAGTTCTCCAGATGACCGTGTACTAGCAACACATGGTAGCATTCTCTTGAGACTGAGAAATATGATTGCCAATGGTTGCTGAACTGGATACTCAGATTTTGTGGCTGGATCTGGTTTCTCAGGCAGAAGTACTGCTTCTGAGCATTCATAGTAACATTTGATCCTGGCAGCTAAGTGCCTAAGTCCTAAGCAAAGCATCCACAAATAAAACCTTATCTAAGTCCGTGTGTACTATCACCGAAGCCAGCAAAAATATACATGCTTAAATGAATTTATTTTCTTTTTGCAGCATCTTAGAGTCTCTAAAAGTAATGAAGAATAATCTTTTACACAGTTCTGAATATACTATTTTGACTACTTCTTTTGGTATGAAATGAGAACATTTAGTCTTTAAGGAAAATGAATACACAGGTCCATCAAAATACAACTATGTTGAGACTTGTGTTGGAGAAGTATCCAAAAGTAACAGTGTGTGCTAATTACAAATTAGTGATTGCACAAATGATAAAAGGAAATCTAAGATAACCATTTATAAAAGTAATAAATATAGTATAATTTCACAAGAAATATTCATTGTTCACCTGGAAAATATGTTCTATTTACAAAAATAGAAGAAAAAATATTTTTATTTTCTTTTTTTCTGACCAACTAATATCTTCCTCATATGTATTAGCACAATGAATGCACTGTAGGGATTTCTACTGTCCATAATTTCCCAGTATCACAGAAAGGAAAATTACAAACCTTCACATTTTGTCTCAAACATTCAGGAGAATCCTAGAGGTGGTACTATTGATTAAGATGGAAAATCAGTTACTTAAATACCTAGGTATTAATTTACCTGTTTTAATTTGCATTCTTTATTTCACAGGCTGCAAAACATCTGTATTGACAGGCAGAAGAATAGCAGAGCTACTTAGAGCAGTTCCATTACCCAAAAAAGTAAGATTGTTTTTCTAAACACTGATACCTGTTTTGTATGTTTGGATCACACATATTGTTAGTAGCAACATTTTGAACTGACAGGAATCCACAAGAAAGCAATTTGGGGATACGCTTAAGACTTTCGTACGTACTATTAAACAAAATCTGATTTGTAAGAAATCACACATTCTCTGAAGCATGTATGATATCCTACTCCTAACATGCAAAGTTTCATACGTATATATACACACATCTGTACAGACACACGCAGTATTGCTCTCCTGTAACTCCTGTAACTGCATTGATGAGTATTTAACATGACATAAAGCCCTTTTTTTCTTCTTTCCTGCAAGGCTGTCTCTAAGGTCTGTGGCATTTGACAGACTCCCTCAGGTTTGATCTCACCAGACAATGGGAACAAGCAAAACCTTCCGAAGTAGAAGCTGACGGTTTAGAAGGTAAATAAATAAAATCCCAAACTTAGTATTTTATATAACAAATATTTCATTTTAGAAGTAATGTTATGGTAGACTGGTTGGATTTGGCAGTCCTGATGTACCAGCTGACTTCATTGGATATTCTCATAGAAAATGCATGTTATAGTCTATTATTAATTACTGTGCAGCTATGTACTAAGTCTTCAAATATTTAAAAGACAATCTGAAAAAATACCACTGACTTTCTGTGCTTAATAATAATTGACTGATTTCACTGATGCCAGTTATTTTTTAGAAAAAAACCTCTTTTAAAAAATCATTCTTTTTTAAAAAAAAATATTGATTTGGTTTATTTACCACTTATGACCACTTCCAGAAATCGAAAGAGACAGAAGATAGCTTCTGTAGAAAGACTGAGGGAAGATGAAAGAATTTTTGGTTTTGCAATAGGCACAGTATTAGGGAGACCAAAAAAAAAACTTTTAACAGGAAAAAAATGTTAAGTGCTTTTAAAGAAGTTTTTCTTGAGGAGAAACGGTGCCTTGTTACTCTTCAAATAATATACACACATTGAAGTATACTACAGAAGTATTTTCAGAACTGTAGAATTCAGAGAACAACAGATCTACTCACTCTCCAGAAGCGCTGTATAGTTGGTATAAGACTTGTCTTTTACCACAGCTTCATCCTGATAATAGCCAGCAGCTTGACAATTTGTAGATATCCTAGCATATAGAAAACGTGAAATTAGTTTGCACATATTTCTTCTATATGTAGTATTTATTTCGAAAATATATTTATTTTTAAAATCTATCAACTAATTGTAGGCTATCTAGCAACTCTGATGTGTCACAAAGATCAGCAAAAATATTTGTGATCATCGTATCTCTAGACAATTATTACCTTGCTATTTTAGAAGGGAAGCAAGTGGCTGTCTGCCAACATGGCTGAAGTAATTCATCTAGATTCTGTTTTAGAACAACAGGCTCTGATTTTCAAGACAAAAGTAGCAGCACATTGAGCCAACACAAGCACTGTTAGCCTGAGAACCAGTATGAATCCAAAGAGGAATTTAAGACCATCAGGTTCTTTTCCAAGAGTCCATAAGTAGTCATTAGATAAAACACAGTTCCAGTCAACACCGTCCTGTTTTACATTACAACTGCTTAACTAAATTTAAAAAGCCTTTAAAACCAATTAAAAATCTCCTGAATTACCCAGTTCTTACATATTTAAATATGCAGTCTTCATTTTACTCCTCCTGAGTAAAGAATGAAATGTATAATTATTTAACACTGAAAATGACTTAACGTCATGAAATTTTTGTGGGCATGCAGCACACAAAACTGCGCAGAAATAAATTCCTATCTGTTTAGTGAATTATTATTTGTTATTTGTGGTTCAGGCAAACAGCCAACATTTAGAGCCTTCCTGCAATATTTCTATCAGGAGGTGACTCGTGTAGGACATGGGTGCATCTTTGGCATAAGCCTATTTATTCAAGAAATGGCTTCCTTGAACATACTGGAGGAAAAAAGGAGAGTGGCATCACTTTGTTTGCTTACAAATTCTTTTTCTGCTTTTGTAAAATAAGTCTGACAGAAACTCATGGCTGTTCTTCAAGTTTTCTGATAAGAAAACACAATCCTCATTTCTATACTTGGACAAATCTCCTGAGGCACATGATTAACACCTTGCTCAGATCCTGCCACGTTTACCACCTCCTACTGTTCTAGCTCTCACAATATGCATGAATGTTTCATTGTTCCCGTTCAGCTCTTACTTATTGACTGTACTCAGGCCCATGACTGAGCACAGTCACAAACATTTGTCAGAATAAGAGTATTATGAAAACACCTACAAAGAAAATGGTCACACTTCCACCCTTCCCCCCTACCTCTCCCTCCCCATCTTCCTCTAACCATACAAACAGGGACAAAAAGTCTCCTGTTTTTCATTTTCTGCATGAATCAGTCAGAATGAGAGCACTACTGTGGGCAGGCTTGGACAAAGAAGCAAGGTTTGCATTCAGCTTTAAATGAAGGAAGATTAGGGAGGTTTGGTTTTCGTCCATAACATTTCTTCAGCATACTTGGAATGGTCATCAAGACATAAATGCTGCAAGAACGTACATTACAGTAACAGTCTGCTTTATTCCCATTCCTGTTCATGTTTAAAATGTATTTAGAGTCATTATCGTTCTCAAGAATGTCATGTCACCAGAAATACATCAGCAAGTCATACACTGGCTAAATATAACACCTTACATCAGGTTCTGGAAGCAGCACAAAGTTGGGATATTGAGTATGAGGTATCCTTTGTCATGCAACATTCCTTTTCATTTTGCTGGGAGTTTGGTCTGAGCAGACACCACAGGGCAGACACCACAATGAGGGTTATAAACTGGGGGGGCTCACCAAAGAAGCTGTTGGCCACAACAAAATCTGATTATGGGCACTTCCCTGACACTTCTGATTTACCAGAGAAGAGGGAAAATTACAAGAGACAGTATTCTGTTTTTCACACCTGAGTACAGATAAAGCTTGAGGCATTATAATGTACTTTGATATATGTGTCTATTTTATATTGCAAATGTGATTTTTCTTGCTACTGTGATATCATTTACCATCATAGCACCTCTTACTTTCAGCTCTTCGCCTTCTGCCAGTACTACACAAGGGAGGCTTTTGAGTCACAGCCTTCATTTTACTCACTGAGCTTACTAAAGTAGTGTTATCCATGGTCTCAAAAGAAAGAAAAGAAAAAAAAAAAAAAAGGAAAAAAATCAAACAAACACAGGAAAAAACAACCCAGTCTGGTTTGCAACAGAATAATTCGAAGAATATAAGTGGCAAAAATAGGTTATCCATCCTAATAGGTATGCTGACACTGAACATAAATATTGTTACTGTAATTTTCTGCACTAATTTATGTTTACTGTTTTCCTTTTTTTTTTTTTTCCTCCTGTTATGTGGAAAGGACATCCCTGATTAGAGTGAAATAAATTTTTCTTAGTGATTAGCCTTCATTCATTGAAGATTAAGCACACATAAAAAAGTATGCCCAAAGTTATGTATCAACTCCTAGATAGCTAAAAATACATCGTAACTTGTTTTGATTATTTTATGCATTTGCTTAAAATGAAAAGCTCATGGGAAGATCATACATTCACAGAGCTGCCTGAGAGAATTTATAACTTGTCAGCTGCATAAAGATATCATCTTCCAAAGTATTTTTAGGTGACACGGTAACAACTTTCAATAAGATGTTAAACAGAAATCTTGTGCTAGCTTTGCCTGTATTCACTTGTGATACTGCTTAGAAGTTTATTTCTCTTGAAATGAAAGAAAATAAGTGTCACGTTTGAACACAGCGAAATACACATCCTTTGTATTAATTCTGGAGCAAATCCTACCCTGCTAGCCCTGTGGGGATAAGGAGAAGCATTGCACAGTGCATCCATTGCCACATGGACCCTGCAAGCTAGGACTGAATTCCAAGAGGCACACCCCAGGGAAGCACTTCATGCCATTATAAAATATTATATGCCTGCACAGCCTTACGTACAGCATTAGGAAAGCCTACCATATCACCATCTTGTTTTTTAAATAATATGCAGTTGAAAGTATATCACGTCAAGCTGAGACTTTTGCAGGCCTCTCTCTACTGCAACCCATTCTCCCTTAAAAAAGGAAGTCTGAGGAGGGTGCTAATGGACAAAATCCCTAGTTTGTTCAGGAGAACATAAACTCTGCAATGGAGGCATTCCTTGCTGCAGAGCTGTTGTTGCTGTTGGCCATCCTACATATTTAGGAATTTTGGATGTGTGCTAGGGAAAGCTACTGTCATAGCAATAAAACAAATCAACCTCTGTGTGACCCCAGAGCACTCTATTTGGGGACCAATTCTGAAGAAATAGACTGCAGTAGTTTCATCAAACATGTCTGTCCCTTTAAACCTAAAACTGTAGACAATTTCCACAACCAATAAATTTCATCTGTGAGCTTCCAATACCCCTGTAACTACAGTGGGAAGCCCTGGGATGTGACCTGTCCTGGTAACTAACCAAAGCAGCATCTTCCCCAGCTGCACATCAAAGCAGCAGGAAAACTGAGTTTTAGAAAGGAATTTTGATTTATATGGAAAATCCAACTAATTAACCTTATCAAAACTCTCATCAGCGACAGCAGAGTTCCTATAGGGCTGCATCCAAAGTAATTTTTTGTTTATTGAGAAGAAATATTTTACTGTACTCATGGATACAGGAAATAACTTGATTTCAACTACTACATCTGCTACCTCTCCTCATTTCCAATTTAATTTCGACTATTTTGTATTCTTTTGCAGCATCTACTCAATCAGGCTCAACTTTGATAATTGTACACTGTGTTTTTCAGAGTGGCAGATCTTCCTTTTTAGCTAGGAAGACCATTAAGAAACTGCTTTAACCAATGATCGCTTGAACCTTTTCCTCTTTTTTTAACTGCTATTTACAGTGAACCTCTCCTTTTCTCTCAATATTATTGTTGCGTTCTGGATTGCTGCCTAACAGTCAGACATTAAAAAAGCAAAAGGGTATCTGGCATTGCTACCAAGGAGAAAGTACCCCCTGGGAACGAAAACAGGGCTGCTGCATCTGCTGAATTCTAATGGAAATGAATTTAATTTAGTTAGAAGATAGGCACTGGGGCTTTTCAGAGCCAGAGGCCTTCTAAAGTGTGTACGTGTTTATAATAAATCCTCAAAACTATTTTAAATTTCATTCATATTTGCAGCTTTCTAATTTTGTATCTTTGTTACAACCTGGTGTTTAGTAAAGCCATAACATAGTCCTTTCACCATGGAATTTTTTTTTCAATGTGGCTCATTCGGTCCAACCTGGCTACCAGCACTATGAGAAACATGGCAGAGGTGGAAACTTGGTTTTGTTGGTAGTGCTAAATGCATTGTCTAAAAAGCCTAAGCTTGCAATGTCAAATCTGTAACAGTCTTTTAGATACTATATCCAAAACCTCCTTACCTCTAGGTTATGACTTTCTCATAACCTAGAATGGAGAGAAGTCTCTACAGAGTTCTTCAATACAAATTAAGCATAGATGTTATAAAATGCAATTTCTCATGCTGATGGAGGAGGAAAAAACAATCAAAAAGCGTATCTCACTCCTAAAATTCTTGGCATGAGTTAAGAACTTTTCTAATCCATTCACAGTTTATTATTTTCTTACTTTGAGTTTTGAACTGCAGTTGCAATGACTCTAAAATGCATTGTGATGCAGCTTAAGTGTTAAAAAAAACACTATACAGCTAACTTGAGTCAGAAACCCTCTGAAATGCCTATTTCTTTGTCTTTCAGATCAGTTGCCATATGCTTTTTTTTTCATATGTCTGTTCTCAAAGAAATTAGCTCAAACCAAGCACTGTAACTATGCACTATTACCCATACAGACAAGTTACAGATTAAATGTCTTTCTTTTGGAGATTGGACAGACATTATTTCCTACATGAAAAGGATTATATTAACTTCGACAAATTCTGAGTAATGTAGGCATTATACTTTGTTAGTAATCCGTGAAGATTCAGTTAGGCAGAACTGGGAATACCCTAATACATCCCTTTTGTACATACAGTACCTATCTTCCACATTCTAGAATATTCTGAATTCAGAAAGTTAGCAAGAATTTTGTGTCTCTGTCCCCAAGGACAGATTCTATGTATCCTGGGGAAGCATGAAATTACTGTTGCTCTTCCCAACGACGATTTGTGTGTGCATGAAAAGACCATCACTACGTTTGCTCCTCTGCCTTACAGTACCCACAACAAGAGTTGGAAAAACCCACTCCTCATGACTGTAATTGAAAGAGTATCCCAACTGAATAGCCATGAGCATGCTAGAATGCTGCTGGACTACTTCTTACCCTTTTGATGTCACATCTGAGACAACAGAGGGAAAAGCAGCAAAGTTGCCTATAAGCAATCCCATGACCAAGGCGCAGATACACAGCTCAGATGCAGGTGGCTCAATTTCTGTGATGTAAGACCAAATTTAAATCTTTGACTTCTACAATGGCAACAGAGCACCTCTTCAGACTACAAGACACTAAAGCATATTAGGAAAAACACATCAATTAGATTTTCAGAGATCTTGCTCATACTTTCCTAACCTTATTTGATTACAGATCCCTTTACATAGCCTTCATAGCATCAAGACCTGTTTCACATCAGGCTAAGCTGCACAGGTAATTATTTTATTAAATGTACCCACGTCTGTAATTCATAATTGTATGTCAGGGTTTCAGTATGTTAGTTTATGAATGAACATACAATTGCAAGATTTCCTGCCCCATAGAGCTTATTATATAAGATGGGAGAAAGAAAGGGAAACAGAGCCGAAAGAAATTGGCGAGACAATAAGAGCTAGCAATATAGGAAGTACTTACAGTATACTGACAGCCTGATATTTGCCCTGCTTTGTAGGTGTGGGGAAAAACGTTTACTGGGATTTGAAGGAAAACAGAACATACAAAACCTATTACAAAGCATAAAAATCAAAACAGAAAAATGGGATTTAATCATTCAGTACCAGAAGTACCATTAAACCCATTCACTGCCTTTCCTTTAAGCAGGAGGATGGCTTGTTTATTTGATGCAATATGTATAACTGTACCATCTCAGAAATGGATGGTATTTCCAAAGTCACTGGCTAGGAAAAAAGCCAAACAACTTTTTAATCAAGATAGACAGCGGAGAGAAGTACCAGAATAGGTTTGTTTACTGTGAAGAACATATGATGTTAAAAATACTTTTTTTTCCCTGGCTGACATAGTATAACAGTTAAGAAGAAGTGAGCTATAGCTTTGACAGTCAGGCCTCACAATGTGGTTTTGGAAAGCATTTTGCATTCACTAGCTACAAGTTTAAACAGAAGAATCCCCTGGCATCACCACTGGCTTACACACAGATTCATTTATACACACTCCATTTTTCATGAGGTGCCCACATCAGTCATGTAATATTACTTCTCAGAGAAGCGCTGTTGCTTTTTACTAGGACAAGGCTTCTACCATTTTCTTTTTGCTATTTCATGTCCCAAGGCACAGTAGAGAAGCTTCTGCTTTTCACTGTATTCCTCCGCTGGCTGTAGAGAGTAATTTTCATGCTTGGTGTGTATAAGACCTTCATTAGAAGAGATCCATTTTATCCAGATCTCTCTGGTCTGTAAAAAGGTCAAGACTATTTCTTTGGTTACATCTCAGCATTCAGTCTTCTCTGCTTACTGAAAGTCTAGGCTGAATTTCATCTTCTAAAGAAGTAGATCTTTGTATGCTTATGCATCCGCATGAACAGTTACATTTAACTTACACAGGACTGATTCCTGCTTATAAAAGACCTTGGAAATCCCACAGTATTAGGATTGTGTGTAGCAGAAAATATCTGTATCCCATTTGTGCTATGGGAACACAGCCTTTTACTATCTCAGTAGCAGACACACAAATATTTGAGGGCCAAGCATGAATAGCTGAGCTGTAGCCAATAGATCTCCTGGGCAAACTCATACATTGCTTTTAAGAACTGCAGGTCCTTCTGTCCCACTGATGATTGTGCAGTGGTGAACAAAAAGTTCTGCATTTTACTTCCAGTTCTATGGAGAGAGTGGAAACTGCTATCACAGTTCTTCTGAAATATATGCTACCTTTCTGAGCTACAATTCATAGACAATCTCCCATAGGCTTCCATAGTTGGTGCATAAGAGCTGAAAGCATTAAGGTTTTTTTTTGTTTTTTTTTTCCTCTCGGCTGTTTTCATCAGTAGTTTTAGATATTAATCCCATCTGATCTCCATTGACACAAATGTAATTGGTCAAGTAGCAGGTCTTCAAGAAGCTCCCCAGGTACTTGCTGATAATTCTCAAGAAAAGCTCTAGTTTATTACATTCCTTTACTGAAACAGAGGCAAAAGAATTGCTTGAAAACTTTCACAGTTTCAGAATTTCTAACAAGCAGTGTGTTAGAATCTCTGTGGCTTTAACGATTTGAGCCTAACGAGCAGACTAATTGCTCAAGTTATTGAATCTCTCAGCTGGAAAGAGATTGCTACCTGTAATTTAATTTATTAACTATGCACATACCTTTAATTTTCCGTAGAACTAAATAAAGGATAAGAAGTGAAATAACAGCTCTTAAAGCCACGCATTTAAGAGGCTATGAATTAACTTCCATAGTTACTGCATAATCCATCATATTTTCCTTCTCTTATCTTCTGTACTACTGAAAAAGCTAACTAGATAAAAGAGAAACAAAGAACTTGTGAAGAAATAGTAAGGACCACTTGACACATAACTGGATATATGCAGCAGGAAATTGAAATCGTTTTCACATCCTGATTTTCACCTTACTAATCTTTTTATAGAGGTTTTGCTGGCAACTTCCTGTTTGGAAGAGAGTACACAAGACTACATAGTGAGAAAGAATCTTCTAAGCTTGATTGAGGCACCGTATGGAAGACAATATATGCTCCTCTATATGATAAGGCTTCAGTTCATATTGTTGCAAATATGTATTAGTTTCATCACTTAAGAAACGGAGGACAGTGGTAGCATCTGCACCTTTTGCTCAAAGCATAATTCAAAAAAGGAAAATAATATTCTTTTTAAAAACACAACTGGAGAACTCACAAATGATGAAATAACAAGATTTTGTACTTCATATAACCTGAATGTAGTCTCCTTTCCAGAGACCATAATCTAATTTCACCCACAGCAAGATCTGAAATAATTTCATTACTAGAGGGGTAAAATATACTGCACGTCTGTAAATTAATCATGAGAGATAGAGGGAATGTTTTCACGTGGCTCACACAAGAATATGAGGTTATGATAAATGTAGTCACTTCCCATTCTGTTGAATAGTGCTCTCCAGTTTAACATATCTGGCTACACAGCACTTACAGCCCCTACAAGGAGAACAGCTCACAATACAAATTAGTAATTGCTTGGGTAACAGCTCAGTGACGTTACAAAGAACGTGTCTGTCATACTATCAAATTCCTCCCCTGCACAACAGACGTGATGTAAGTCTTCAAATGTAAGTCAGCATTTGAGCATCAAGAAACAAAAAGGAATGTGGAGTCAGTATCTATCAAGATGAAGATTTTTTTTTAACATTACCTCATTTGTTACTGTCTTATTTTTAGCTCACTGTATTGATTTCTTACAATATTCATCCTCCTCACTGTCACCAGTCTAGTCACACAGTGATCATGCTCATATTCTGTAATTAATGTATCACTTCTTCTGCACTTAGTATATTTGTGGTTTTATTAGGTATATTTTCAATACAAAAAGTGTAATTGCAAAAAAAAAAAAAACACCACACCACCACAAAAGAAAACCCCATAAACACACCACCACTGAAATGAATGCATTAGCATAAAATCATAAAACGCTTCTTCAGAAAACACACTCAATGTATTCAGCTCATATCACCAACTGCAGACACCTGTATGATGTGATACATGCAGGATAGAAATAATAGAATCTATGAAAATACCTGACACGTTCTACACACTACGCATTTACAGCCTATTGCAGAGGCCTGAAGGCCTTGGGTTTACTTAGATTTTTCAGGGATTCTAAAAAGTCTTAAGTGGACCTTCAAGTACTGTGAGAACACCTTTAATTTATTCTGAAATGCATGCATTGACTGCACTCTAAATGTTTACAGTTAACTAGAATTAACTGCTGCTAAATGTTTTCCACCATTCTTTCCCTAGTGGCACTATGCTCCTCTTTGCAGAAACTGAACTTTATACATGGCAGCATTAACCTTCTCTTAACCCATCCAAGAGGCCAGAAGAACTGCACACATACTCTATTTTAATTTCTTTACAGTCAGCTTGTAAAAAAGGTCAGTATGCAGAGCATGGGTGTGTCACAGCCCATTGACACAGATAGCAACATTACGTAGGTGCACAGGCGTGAAGCTTGTGCAGGAAGTTGCAATTCCAGGTTGTGTGTAACCTGTCCCTGCTAAATAACAGAAGTCTCTATGATTGCCTTGATTGATTTTAAGAAATGAACTGGTTGAAAGATAAGGGAACTTACCTACTTTTGTCATCCACTTCAGTATCAAGAGCAACATCATGCAATAAAAGTGATACTCAGATACTTATTACCAGAATAAGCCTTGGGCCATGGCCCCATTGCCTACGCTGCACTCTGTTTTAATTTTGATTCTCACCCAAGTCTCACCAAAAGCTCTGTCCACCCCCTTACTGTCTAGTCTGATCCCACAGTATGTATACATTTTACCTTTAGCATCTTAATGATTTTATTTGAGTTGCAAACTCTTTCACTGGCATACGTTCCAAGGAATATCATTAAAAGAAAAATTGAAAGGTGCTAATATAAATAGTTTCTAACTTTGCATAGAGTAACATAACACACTGTTATTACCTTGCATAATAGAATGCATTTCTTAAATGTATGTATTCATAATTTTGACAAGGTATCTAGAATTAATATTTTTATCCCAGAATATGTAGAAATAAAAACTTAAGTGAAGTTCCTCCAGACATGTTTTGTTTAGTTTGATGGACTTGCCTGTATTTCTCATTTGGAGAACAGCAGAACATACTATACTTTTCCTAGCATACGCATTTATTAATATTTCCTCTCAATCTGCCCTACTCAGAAGGGAGTTTCCCAAAGGAAGGCCTTCCAAATAGTTCCCCGTGTCAACTTGTGACCCTGAAGCAAGCTAGCTGACATGCCAGTGTCTTCCAAGGATGACATATCTATTGCCCTGATACATGAGCACCTTGAACCCAATGTTATGTACTCTGAATTGCAGGGATGAATTCACCAAGATGCAATACTGCTGATTTAGTTGGATTCCATAGGGTTGCATTTGGTTTGTGGAACTCAGTAACATTTTCATCTCTATTTTGAAAGCATACTGCAGAAAGGAAAAAAAAGAAACAACAACCCTAAGAATGCCTGAGTAGATCAGTTTCTATTTTTCCCCCCTGCTACTTCTCTGACAGATATTAGCCTTAGAAATGGAGAAATTGCAGCATGATATTAGCCAAGCATTTGATTTTTCCTGTATTTGTCCAATTCCTATTAATGCTTCATGAGTATAGAGAAGAAAAGACAAGGAAGTGTTCCATAGTTGGTGCATCTGGTGTCTCCCATTTTTAGGAGCAATTATAAGAACAACGCAGCTTTTCAATGTTAAAA